CAAAGGAAGGACTCGAGTTACCCTATACCTTAGGAGACTAGTTAGGAACTCTTAAAGCGCAACTTATAGACTTTAAAGGATACGATGTTATCCTAGGACTATCCTAGTTTATAAGATATAACCCTATAATCAATTAGCAGGTTAGCATAGTATAACTATTACATAAAGATACTCTTACAACTTACGTTCTTAAATCTTACTCTAGGATCTTTGCGTTATAAGATGTAAAGGTGGAGGATGAACGAGAACTGCTATATGCACTTACTAACCCTATAACAAATGGACAACTTAGTATAAGAAGAGCCCCCTTGCTGCTTATAGCACTACGTGCTTTTTCTAGTCTAGAGCCGGATAGCAAACCTGCTGTTATAACGCTCCCTATCTTCGTTGTAGTCCTATAACAATATCCATCTATATTTAGAGAGGAATTACTAACTAGACTGCTAAAGAAAAGAGACATTGTCTATTTAATTAACACCGGAGACGCGAAGCCGACGAACATATAGGCCTATTCGTTAAATCTAATGTAGTTGCAAGAATAGCAAAAGCAAATAGATATGCTATTATAACGAGGTCTTATCTAGGAATCCTCTTCGCCGTAAAGAAGTCCTGTTCTCTTTGTACTAAAACCTAGTAACAAGTAGAGAATGTGTGTCGATTTCTGTGCTCTAAATAAGCTTACGAAAAAGAACGGATACCCCCTACCTCTCGTGCAAGATTGCTTAGATGCACTTGCTAGGGCAGCTTAGTTTATAAAGCTTAATCTTGTTTCTAGCTTTTAGCAACTATTAATGGATCTAGATTCCGTTACAAAGACTGCGTTTAATACTCGATAGGGAAAGTATGAGTTTCTTATTATGCCTTTTAGCCTCTACAACGCTCCTACAACTTTCTAGACATTAATAAATAAAGTCCTACGTCCCTTCTTAGGAAAATCAGTTATTATGTATCTTAATGACATACTAATTTACTCTAAAACCGAGAAGGAACATATAAAGCACTTATACGACGTTTTTTAAGTGTTATAACGAGAGTAACTGTTCGCCTCTACTAAGAAGTATGTAGTAGGAGTGCAAGAAGTTAAATTCTATGGTCACCTTGTTACGCTAAACTATACACAACCTATACAAGACAAGGTTAAAGTCATCCGAGACTAGCCTACCCCTTAAACTGCGTAACAAGTCCGTTAGTTTTTAGGACTTACAAGCTATTATCGCCGCTACATTCGTGGCTTTACAAAGCTTATAGCCCCTCTATTAGATTTATTAAAGGAAGAAGATGTAAATCTTCGCGCTGTAAAAAAGAGACCTATTTAGTAGAACTTGCAGTGCACTCATTCCTTTAATAAGTTAAAAGAGACCCTTATAACTAGACCTGTTCTAGTTGCACCTAACACTTTAAAGCCTTTTTAGATTAAAACTAACGCTTCGGAGTAGGCAATAGGATCTATTCTGTACCAAAATAGCGAGGATGACAAGTTACATCCTATTGCATTTGGTGGACGCAAATTAAAAGCTATAGAACTAAATTATCCTGTCTATAAGAAGGAAGGACTTGCAATTAAAGAAGCATTACGCACATGGACTATGTACATTCAAAACGGACATAAGACAGTTATTCTAACTAATCATGAAAGTCTAAAGTACTTACAAACCATAAAAACCCCGAGTAAGCGAGTTGTAAGGTGGTTTAAGGAGTTTTCTAAGTATAATATCGAGATTCGATATAGGAAAGGATTAGAAGCCATTATCCCTAACGCTATATCACGGCGCCCTGATTTTATGGGGAATACTCCTACAAATGTTGCAGAACGTATTAATGCTATGCGTTTCTAAGCGGACGAAGAAACTAACTTCGTAGAAGCAATGATTGCCTTTTAACTATTAGGTACTCTTCTACAAGAAGAGCGCTTACAAAAGCTAGTACAAGAAAAAGCAATTAACTACGCAGCCATTAACAATGATGGAACACTAGAGTTGCAATATATTCTGCTAGATAATAAGGGAGTTGTACTGTATCTTACACCGGAATTCCGTGTAGATTTCTTAGATTATATATATCGCAACTATGGCCATTTCGGCTCCCCTAGCTTGCTTAGACATGTAGAGTCTAGAGCATAGTGGCCTTCTATTAAAAAGGACATTCGGTACTTTAGCAAGCACTATCCTATTTGTTAGATTACTTAGAAAAAGAGCAGCAAGGAGAATGAGATACGCTTCTATTAAATTAATGTAGAGTTGCAACCATTCGAACGCTAGGCACTAGACGTTGTTAGCCCTATGCCCCCTTCTCTTAGCGGAAAACAGTACGTAATTACTACTATCGATTATGTAACAAATTAGCCTATTGTAAAAGTAGTTGCATCTGTAGATAATGAAACTACTACTAAATTTGTATATAAGGAGATCTATTACGCATATAGATCACTAAGGGAAATTCTATTAGATAATGGTGCTAATTTCGTGTCTAGAGTATTACAACATCTCTATAACAAGCTTAAGACAAGGCATTAGTTATCTACCCCTTATCACCTACGTGCAAATAGCAAGAATAAGAACCTTAATAGTATCCTTAGGTCTATTCTAACTAGAATGTGTATTAGAAACGAAGTTACAATGTAGGAAGACTTCCTACTAGAAGCGGTCTTCTATTGCAGAACTTACATGCATTCTAGCACAGGTTTTAGCCTATATTACCTACTATATGGCCGTCATCCACGTATTCCTAAGGATGAAAACTAGCCTCGACCGCTTAATATTGCTGTTGTAGATTACGAGAAGAGACTTATAGTTATAAAACATGTAAGGCACCTTACAAACAAGAAGCTCTTATAACGAGCGATCCGTGCAAAGCTTATTAACTCTTAAATACTTAAGAAGCATGCTAGACCTGCTTTTAAGGAGAACGAGTAGGTCTTATTGCAGAACCTAAAACTAACTAAACTCGTTCCGAAATGGACTAGGCCTTACAAAATCCTAAAGGCGCATTAGTTAGGCACGTATGCCTTATAAACTCCCGAAGGAAGAGTGTTACGGCATTTAACTTATGGCAATTGGCTTACGAAGGCTAATTGCACGAGTGTAACAAGCTTTTAGAACCGTCTAAATCCATTAGTAGAGAAGTTGCAGGTTAAACCGACTAGTTCATTAGTGCTTAATGCACTAGATGGCGAAGAATTGACAATCCCCGATGTTAAGACTTAGTCTACTCTATTAGAAGCTAAGTGGAGAAGACTATAGAACTTCGCCCTAAGATCTAATTATCGTCTAGGTGCACGAAGATTCCTAGTAGGGGAGGGAGAAAAGGTTATAAGGACTACAACTAAGGTCGAAGACCTTAAGATCTCCTATGGCGTCCACAAGTTAAGAAGACTAAAAGCTACTAGGAAGTCTAGAAGCTAAGAGGACGCTTAGATAGCTCCGGTAGAGCTTACTATCTAAGAAGCCCTTGTAAAGGCAGATAAGCGGCATAAGCAATACTAAGAAGAGGTGTTGTAAAAGAAAATCGAAGACGGTGATAAGCTAAGGGATGAATTTAGCCGCCGCTAGCAGTAGAAAGCTGCTATAACAGAGTCTACAAACATAGAAAAGGACTCGGTACTAATTGCAACTACTATAACGGACGTCTTAAAGGCCTCTAAAGCTACTAAGAAGAACTAGTATTCCTTACGCATAAGAAGAACTCCTACAAAGAAGTTTAGAACGTGAATTAAATAAGGAAATGTTAATTGTAAGCTACTTTTAGCTGCTAGTTGTCTGTAATAAGGTAGAAGGCCTAACTATTAGTACAAATCAAAAAGAAAGAAGGTTAGCAACATTCTGCTACCTTAAAAAGATCATAAAAACCTCCCTATAATAAAGGAAAAACCCTAAAAGTTAACTAAAATCATAGTTGCACCTCTATAACTGTATCCTCGATCCGAAACCCTTCTATAATAATCACTCTAGAGAACTGCTAGAGCTACGGCTATAGCGAGCCTTCTAAAGGGCGACGTACTCTATCTAGAGACAGTATAGAGCATAAGCACGCATAGAGTTTGCGCCTAGAGCTACCTATCTATAAGGAGTTAGAGTAAGAAAGTTACGAGGACCTATAGAACCCTCGTCGAAGAACTTATAGTCCTACTTATAGACAGCATTACGGATCTAAAGGCGACGAGTAGTAGTTAATCCGTAGGCTAGGTTAACTAACATCTTAAATTAAACTCTAATGTTTCTAGAGGACTAGGTAGGAGCAGTATTAAAACTTTCACGCTAACCGCTAATACTATCGATGATGTAGTTAGCCTAGCGTAAAGGGGTAGCGGCTCTAAACTAAGCCACAGTTATACGCTTAGGACTTGTAGGCACAAGAGGAGAACTAATGATAGGAGCCGAGCTGCTACGAGTGTAACTTAGTGTTATAGGTCTAGGAGCAGCTAGAGATGGACTTGTACGAATAGGAGAACCTAGATCTAGACCGCCCATTAATTCTATAACTAAAGAAGGAGTTACACTTAAGCTTACAACACGACGATAGTTAGTTGCAACCTAACGAGGAACAGGCGAAATGATAACCTAAACCTCTTAACGACGTCTAGGCTCGGGAGTTGCAGAAGAAGTTGCAACAAGGGCTCTTAAAGGACTAAGTGCTTTACTACTATAGTAGGAGCAGTTCTTATAGCGGTTAGGGAAGGCATAGTTAGTGCAAGCTCTAGAAAAGAGTTCTCCGTTAGGACCGTTAACAGTAATATAGTCGGCAAAGCAACTAGAACCTTTCTTATAGTTATAGCAGGCATCGTTTCTAGAGTTAACGGTTCTGCCGCGAGAAAGATGACTAAGGAGGGATGTTAAGGCGTAGGCACTAGTAGTTTTGTGTGTGTCTAACTTCTTAGGTCTAAAGACTAGCTCGTAAACAGGCTCTAGGAGTTAACGGTTGTTACGATCTAGGAAGTTTTTAGCTACAACTCTAAGGTTATAGCGTTCGCCCGAATTAGCTAGGGCTAGAGCAGATAAGAGAGCCTAAATAGCGAAGCGGAGATCCAGTTTGCGCGACTTTTTGCCTATTATAGAAGTTAGAAAAGGCTGTAACAAGGTTACAAAAGTTAGAAGATTTACTTACGAGCATCGTCTAAGTCCTTCTTTATAGCATAGTGTCCTTTAGGACCGCCCTTGCCTAAAGGCTTATAAGGAGGCTTGCCGCTACCATTACCGCCACGCTTGCTAGTTCTAGTAAGAGAACTAGTAGTAGGGCGCGCAATAGATGCCGACATTGTTATAGAATGTAAGGAAAGTGATGTAAAGAGTGTAGAAAAGCTATTACAAAGCGCGCGCGTAGTAGAAGCGAGTTATAGGCAATAAGGAAGAGAAGATTAGTATGTAAGTAATAAGATGTTGCTACAACTAATAAAGAAGAAGAATAGTGTATAAGAGGTAGTATAATGTGTAACTGTTAAAGAAGGAAGAAGAAGTGGAAGTACTTAAGCAAGTTTAAGAAGCTTAATCAAGTTAGATGTTAATGTTATAGAGAAGGTTTAAGCTAGACAGGAGGGATGGTTTTATACCTAGAATTTCATAAGCTAGTAACTGTAACTCGGAGTTGCAAGTGACTAAGGCGTAAAATTAAGAAGTAAGAAACTCGGAGCGTGCTCCTTATGATGCTAGTAGGTAAGAAGTCGGAGCGTGCTATCGTTGCAAGGGAAGGAGCATATGAAAAACAATCTAAGATCGTTATAGAAGTTGCTAGCGCCGAGGCTACTACCTAGCCGAGTGAAATTAGATGCAACAAATGCAACGAAGGAGGATTAAGAAATTGAAGGAGACATAGGGAGATATAATAGCTGTTGCAGTGGGAAAGAAGATTCTAATGGCAGGTTGTAAGCGATAGAAGCAAATTTCCTAACTACAATCCGAATTGCAGATGGAGAAGCTTCCCATGACTATAACTAAAAGTTGTAGATGGAGGAAGTTTCCTATGGCTATAACCAAAAAAGTTGCAGAGGAAGGAGTTGCCCATGGCTGCAACAAGCTGTGTAACTAAGACTTCTTTGAAGTCTGACCAATTGTTTCCTTTGTATTGTTGATTTCTATTGATACTGGCGACAATACTGAAGCAGGTGCTTTAGTCTAAGTAGGGGAGGATGTTATTGCGAAGCCGGAGTAAGCCATTGCTTAGCGGATTTGGTATATAATCGTGCCGTGCGCCAGTAGTCTAAAAAATCAAGTTCCTTTGGCAATTACATAGATAAAACTGCTTCGGAAACGGCAACAAGGATGTAGATGTTTGAGCTCAGCATGGTGAGATGCTTTTCTGTATCGTACGGGAGAGACTGAGATGTATCCGATGGAGTCTCTGGCTCTTCGTGGTGTAGTATACTGGATGTTTTGTTTTGGGATCGTGAGTTTCGAGAATTGGGTGAGCTGCACATGCAAAACCATAGAGCAATACTAACTTGGCCACGAATCTGGATATTTTCAGTGCAGAGACATAGGAGGATGCTCAAAAATAAGGCTGTAATGGATCTATATACACACAAGGCTCTCAAGTCAAGTCAGGGTGGTATACTTGTTGCCGACGACATCAAGGTGAAGTAGTACAAGACATATGGCCACTCGGGCCGCACTTTCCGCACCAGCAATTGCCGCAAGCCCTCGTCCAAAGAATGTCCGTACGAAAAACAAGCGCATCACAGTCCAGGCAGCGCATTCAAACCCACAACAGCGGGCATGAAGGCGCAACCCCAAAATGCACGCTCGCGCTACCTATCCACAATCTCCACAATGGAGAAGGTACCAGTCACCAAGCTCGAAGCCGCAGCTGGCGAACAGACAAAATGGCTTTGGTTGTTGAATGCAGGCGACATGGCTGCACGAGCGCGCTCAGGTATCACTTTGCCAGAAAACCTACCTGGTGCACCTGTGCAAATTGTAGAATTGCTAGCAAAGGTAAGTGAGAAATGGGGAAGAGATGGAAGGCTGACGACTAAGTGTGACAATTTTCAAAGCCGTATGCTCTGATCGAGTATGAATCGCCCGATGATGCGAAAGCTGCGTTTGAAGTAGAGTCAAAAGCAATCTTTGCATATGCTGCGCCGAGCGTGGTAGAAAGCATTATGGCCAAGCTGCCGCCGAATCATCCTACACCTACGCTTCTCTCCGCCGACCCACCTACATACGAATTTTCCAATAATTTAATCTTGATACACGAGTTCATCACGAAAGAGGAAGAGGAGGAGATGATACGGGAATACCACACTGCGACAGCCTCACGAGATGGTCGCGCACTAAAGCGAGGAGCCGTACATTATGGCCCGCACTTTGACTATACCACCTTTGCTGTGTCCAAGTCAGACAGCACACCGCCGCCTGAATACCTTACGCGATTGTTGAGTCGCTTGCCTGCCAGAGATGAGAGGGATATTCCTGATCAGTACACTCTGCAGCACTACCCACCAGGCACGGGTATACCTCCACACGTAGACACGCACTCAGCTTTTGAGGAAACCATCTACAGTCTCAGCTTCGGCGCTTCGACACGCATGGACTTCAAGTTGTGTGGAGAGAAGGAGTCGAGACGACTGCGACTTCCTAAGCGATCGCTTGGTGGTGGGAGTGAAACACCTCCGCCGCCGCCTTCAGCTCCTGTTGAAGTGGTTGAGGAAAAGACGGAAGAGTGGGAATTGGAGTTGCCAGCAAGGTCATTGTTGCTCATGAGAGGACCGTCCAGATATGGGTATACGCATGGCATCAAAGGGAGGAAACATGATCAAGATGGTCCAAGATTGGTCGCGAGGCAAGATCGGTATTCGTTGACGATGCGGAAGATCAAGCCACCGGAAGAAATTGGCTGCAACTGCGAGTATCCGCATGTATGTAGTTGAAGGATCATGGCTTTGCAGATGAAGGTGATGGGTAATCAGGAGAGGTGAAGATCTGAGGTAGCCTTTTGTGTTGGCCCTCAGGAACCATGAGATCAAAGTGGCTGGCAAAGCAGGAATTGCAGATATAAGTGGTGGGCTCAGCCTTGGTGGCCCACCAGACCCTAAGAAAGCAATCTTTCTGGCAAGCGGTGCAATGGTGGTCGACGCGGTCAGGAGTAATGACGGGTGTGTGCAGCTTCCAGGTCCAACCTTCTCTGATCCATCTGTTTTCACTCAATATACGAAACAGGCGTTGAGAGCGTCGTCGCATGTGAAGCTTGCGCTCGTCAAGCGAACGATCATATTCGCGCATGTATTGTACGCTTTCGGGGGTGCGACTGATATGAAGCTTCCTCTTCCTGATCTCAGGTCTTCTTAGGTATTTACGTCGCGCCAGCTTCATTCTTTCGCGGAATTCAGGGTCGTTGTGATAGCGCCATTTGGCATAAGCCGAGGGATCCTGTTTCCTAAGAGCAAACAAATATCCTGGATCGACCTCGTTGTCTTGACTAGTCGAGTAAGCTAGACGGCGCAATGACCAGAGAGAGTGTGCTGTGCCTGTGCATGTGAAAGGCCGAAAGAAGCGCCATGTCAAAGAGGACAGGGCGAACATGGTGTCAAAGGTCTGCAACGAGTCTTTGGATAGATACTAAGGTATGTGCAAAGAGAGGAAGGAGCGACGAGACTTGGCTGCTGTCAACAGTCTGCCAAGAACCAGCGAGCCGTCTCTTGTTTTCCTGTCAAAAGTCAACGGGCCGACACTTAAAACTGCATGGTCGAGTCTGGGCTGGAAAGCTTGTTGCAACTGTTTGCTGCTTGACTTGTGGCCATATTTGCTGTGACGAACACTTGCACAACCTTGTCGTCGCCTTGCAGCACCAGGAAAGAACAGTGCAAGTAGCCTCGGCACAGGTGAAATGAGGCAAGTGCTAGGCTGGATGCGGCAGCGCTCCTGCCACCTCGCGGATCCCTGTCTGTACAGTCTGCGGATGCGGATGCGGATGCGGATGCGAATACGACAGGCAGAGAGGGAGGGGAATCCGTCGTCTGACTGGGCTTGAACCTTGAGCTACTGTTGAGCAAATACTCGGTCGGCTGCATCCATTGCTCTTGCCGCTCGACCACGACGACCTTTCGACTTGAGGCAGCTCCTGTGCTAAAGGTGAAACGCTTGATGGCGCATTCCTGAGCCCCCTCGTCTTATCACCAGCAACATTGTAACTTCTGTGTCTGTACGGCGTCCGTCTGTGTACAGTACCTTCCTCTGTCGATCAGCTCATGCGTCTGCGAAGCTTCCCACAGTCGTGACTGCCTTGTAAGCGTGCCTTCCTCTTCTCTTGCATCTTCCCGTTTGCTGACACGCTCTTCTTCTTCTTCTCGCAGATTATCACCATCGCTCGTTCATCAATTCACCCGCCATGCGTCTTTTTGCCATCGTCGCCTCGCTGGCGGCCGCTGCCTCTGCCCAGCAACTTCTTGTATACGGCGACTCGGCCCTCCCTTCGTGCGCTCAGCAATGCACAATCCTCCAGAATGCCCAGACTGGCTGCATCCCTCCAGCCGCTCCAGTCACCGACGCCACCATCTACGAATCGTGTTTCTGCCAGTCTGGTTATCTCACTACTCTCAAAGCTGCTGGCTCAACCATCTGCTCCGACGTCTGTGACGCCAGCGATGTGGCCAAGATTGCATCCTGGTATCAGTCAAACTGTGCCGACAACGGTGTCGCTGCCGCCGCCAAAGTCAGTGCCGGCACTACAACAGACTCGACTACTACCACAACGCCTGCTTCAACCGCCACTTCAACGCAATCTACATCCACTTCGACCAGCTCCAGTAGCTCGCAAGGCACAAGCTCGTCTCAGGAGACAGACCCTCATCATGATTGGTAAGTCGACAAGTCTCTTTTAACAACAACGACTAACCCAACTCAGGTGGACAGACCATTGGAAGTGGATCGTCATGCTAATCGTCGTCTTTGTGGGCTTGGCCATTCTGACCACCATTTTCGTCCTACTTCGCCGCCGCTACCGCCGTCGTCAAGACCTTGCGAATGCCCCCTTCAACTCGGGCATCACCCGACATTCCATCCCTACCCTTTCAGTAACACCACCCGCACTTGGCAAAGCTTCCAGCAATCAAGCCAGCCGAACAAGTCTACCAAATGTTAGAGAAAAGGACAGAATGACTGTCACAGATGTGCCCGTTCCTCCCTTGCCTGCTTCTCATGATTTTGCTACAAAAGAACGAGGAGGCACTCCGGATATTGAATACGCACGCCCAAGATAAGCGACCAACAGAAGGTCAACTTTTTTACTTTTCATTGATACCCACCACATAATTACAATCAAATCTGGACTTCCTTGTGTTTATACATGTCGATTTCACCATTCGATGATTCTATGCTCGATTTGTGCATGTACTGAAGCCTGGTTTATTCTGGATAAGCTTTGATATTCGAACCCTTTCGAAGGAAGCTTCACCACCACCTCTGTGGAACCCTCATTCATTTTCAACCCTTGATTTTCTCTTGCTCCTAACCGCATTAGCAGCATAGGCTGTTTAGGAGGCATGCTATCACATTTGCAACGACATGACATTCCTCAACCATGACGGAGATGCTCAATGCCAAGCTTTGATATATATTGCTCAAGGCACGAGCCAGTGGAGACCTCAGAAAATTTTCAGTTCGACTGCCTCGAAGGCCATATCTGATTCGAACTCGCCAAGGACTGCCTCACCTGCAAAGAGGAGGAGCCTCTGATCCTGTCCGGTCAGGGTCATGGCCGACTCGCAAATCCACCTCAACGAAGACGACCCAATCCCATGGCCACTGTACATCCGATGTGTTTTTCGCGAATACCCCCAGCCAGCTCCTTCAACCTCTCCGTCAGGCTCTGCTTCGGACCCTGTAATCATCCAAGATGACGATCCACCAGGCTCGGTCCTGAACCCTGTGGTCATTCTGGACGATGAACCCCTGAATCTTCCAGCGGAACCACAAACTCCAGTGACAGGATCAGAGCACCTAACGGATATTATGCGGGATCAATCTCCCGCATTAGAGATCGAAGACACTTCCTCAGACTCTGGCTCAAGCTCAATCTCTTCTCGACCATCTTCAGACTCAGGTTCAACATCTGGAGTATTCTCGACTTCTCCTCCAGACTCATCTGATCCAGCTTCAACAACAGAGGCATCTTCAACTTCTGATCTATCTCCGGAATCTCGTGCTTCGTCAATCTCTGATGCTTCTCCTCCGACCTCACCAAGATACAATATTCCGTACTTAGCATTTAGGTGGCACTTTTCCTTAGAACGAGAATCGCCTCCACGCCGGGAAGATAGCTGTCAAGCTTCACCCGCTCGTGTATGGAATGATACCATCTGTTCAAAATGCAGACAAAGGGGTCATGTTGCCTCAGCTCATTGCCGCCATTGCAGTTTGATTGGTCACCGTGCTTCCGATCACTGTCGTACGTGCGATCAGATTGGCCACAATCACCGTGATCACTGCATTCTATGCAATCAGGTTGGCTTCTGTGTCGTTGGTTACTGTGCCCGTGCCCACTGTAAACGGTGCAATGTGACTGGCCATGATGATACTCATCATTGCACTCGATGTTCGTTGCTGGGCCATGGTCATTGGAATCATTGTGACGTGTGCGATGTGGTCAATTGCAAGACGGAGAACCACTGCTACGTGTGTGCACAACTTGGTCACAGCTCTCAAGATCATTGCGAGAATTGTGAAGAGCTTGGCCACAAAGATCGTGATCACTGTTGGAGTTGCGGAGAAGTCGGTCATAACTGGGAGTCGTGCTCTAAACGAACCGGTCAAGACCAGGGCGACTTTTGTTGGATCTGTCGTAGCCATGGACATGGCAAGGATGCATGTCCTTCTCTGAAACAATACAAGCTTCGTGCAAAGTGGGCATTCAAACGGCTGCAAAGATCGCGTTCAGCCCAACATCAGCGTCGGTGCCAGTGTTGCCTAGAGATTCGAGAGTCGAGATATTCCTTCCACCAGGAGCATAAACTCAAAGACTGCCCAAAGTTGTCTCACAAAACTGCTTGTCTGGAGAAAGACCACCGCGGCCCAAAATGCCAGGAGTGGATTGTGAGATTCTCCCGCGACGCGGCTACACAGGTCAACCTTGCCGAGTTCTCGACAAATGTCGAGGTGGGAGAAAAGACCATTGTTCCAGACAATTCCATATCTCCCAGCGTCTTTACAACCATCTCTTCGTCCACGCAAACCGCCTTTCCAGAAGTGCATGTTGGTCGTAAGTCATATCATTCTGTGGGGTCCGAGTGTCTTACTCTCAGTGCGAGTTTACCTGTTGCGAAACCCGCAAAGACTATCAAGGATTGCGAGGAGGGGTCTCAGCACCGCCAAGGGAACCGTCGAGATGACTCGAGTTCATCTATCTCCAAGGAAGCATCTGATCATCCTACACCAGGCCATATTCCGGAGACATTCGATGACAACCAGCAGGAAGATGGCAAAGATCCTGAACAGACGAGACTCGAGGCAAAAGCTCGTCTTCAACAAGAGATAGAGACGGAAGTGCAACAGACCATGCTAGAAGAGGATGACGAGCCTGATGTCGAGACCACGTCTCTGCACTCTCAAGACTCTCACGAGAGTCACCGTCCTACAAGCCCAATCACCCCTACAAGCCCGTTCAGTTCAGAGTTTGAGAAGAATGTTTTCAAAAATCTGAATGACAGCTTGTCACTTCTTGGGAGAAATACAGAAGAGCATCTGTCCGAGAGGGCTGACATGCCAGTCTCGTCTACTGCCCCTCAGACTTCTGCCAGCATGGAAGTTGAGCAACCAGAAATTCAGCAAGACGAGAGCTCAACAAATAGCCAGGAGAACCCGGAGATTGGACAAGAGAATCTGTTCGAGTACTTCGATGTTCCGGCCGTTCGCTCTTCCTCTCCTGCTCCTTCCGATCGCGAGTGCGGTCCGTTTTTCACGAGAGTTACCATCACTGCTATAGACACACCGATGGTCTCTCAGGATGTACCGTCTTCGCCTGCGCCGATTGAAGTTATGACTCGCAGCACTGTCAGGTGCCCAAAATTACCCTCGGGCAATTATCTGGAGTTCAATACATGCCGCAATGGCAAAAGCTTGATCGATCACGAACAGAAACAGAATCTTCTAGGACGAGCTTCTGTCCGAAAGAGAAAGCACAAACCAAGAAAAGTGCTTGCCAACAAGAAACAGAAGCCGAACTTAAACTCGAGAAGTTCCAGTCCAACACTGGTTGATACTACTTTGCAAGATCACACCAGCATTGGGACTAAGCTAGCAGTTTCGCTACCAGGAGGACATCCTATATCGTGGCAGGAACTCTGCTACACAGTAATGCTCGACGCACCAAACCACTCCTCCAACTTCAAACAACTCTGCAATTTAGTCAGGAACTGGTTGTACAGCACCTTTCCATCAATTGGTTTCGATATCAACGAGAAGGACATGATGCAGAATCTCCAAGCCGTCGTCAAGAACAGCCCCAACTTTGAGATACACGAACAGCCTAAAGGTAAAAAGAAGAAAACCCCTATCGAAGTCTGCATCCGCGAAAACGCCATCAAAAAAGTCAAGATTGTAGTATCTTGCTTCAGAGCAAAACTCGCACGACCCGTATACTTTCACCACATGTCCACCCATCTCCTTCCCAGATCAGAACTCCGTCCAGAACTATCATTCGAGAATCTCATCGGTATGGCTCTACACGCACTACCTTCCAAACACGTCGAAGAAACAGAAATCATAATGTGGATCAGACGAAACATACCAGGCTATCAGACCAACCACAAGCCTAGTGTATCTCTTTGCAAGGATGGAGACAGTTGGGTGCAAAGGCTAAGGGAAGAATTGCGTGAGTCTTCGTTTTTCAAGATGAGATCGAGGGAGAAGGGGGACGAAGTGTGGAGGTTTAGGAAGGATTGTGCGGAGTACTTCAACAAGTGAAATGATGCGAATTGACTGGAAGGACTCGTTTCACAGGAGGGACAGTCAAGCTGAGAGGAGCTTCGAGAGTTTGTATGCACAAGCACTTGCCTTGCGTATGAGACTTGTCGGAGTTGAGTGAGGTGGAAATCTTGAAATTAAGCAAATACGAGAGAGACAAACCATATCAAAGCCAGGGAGATATTGAAAAAGAAGAAGGTGAAAGATAAAAAACGTAAGCAAACCACAAAGACTAGATACAGAAAAATCCTAGAGGGAAACGAAAACACTCTGCTCCTTTCTATTTGTTCACAGCCATACCACCTCTTTTCCATTCCCGCTCGCCTCCAAATTCCAACCTCAATCACCCAGGACTCAAAGGCAACCTCCCCCCACCGCCCAAACTCCACTCTCCAAACACTGCATTCCACAACCACCCCATCAGTCCCAGAACTACCCCAATAATCTGTCTAGGAACCGCAGCTCCAATATAAAAGAGTTTATTCTCGGGAGCATAGCCATTGGCATGAGCCCAATCATACTCTGCCAAGGAAAAGGCGATTGCGAAACCGAGGTAAGATGCAAGGGTACAGAGAAGAAGGAAGCGACGGTGGATGAGGATGTTGGTGGTGATGTCCTGGCAGAATGTGAAGAGGATGGTAGGCAGATCAGGGTGAGAAGACGAAGGGAATGTGCCGGTGCTGGAAGAAGGCGAGGCTTTGGAGGTTGAGGGAGCTGTGACGGCTTTATAGTGGCTGTGGGTTGTAGATGACATGTCTTTGGTAGGTACGCGAGGACGTTTGATGTTTAGCGTGTTGACTTTGGACGGTTTGCCGGGTTGAGGAGACGAGGCGTTGTCGAGTGCGAGCTGCTCTTCGGTAAATTCATTCGATAGAGGAGATTTGGGTGATGGCTTGCTAGTGGCAGGAGAATTGGAAACCGGACTTGATGGAAGAGGGACATTCGAGGGCGAAGTGATCGTTGGACCTGTTTGCACGGCAGTCTCAGAAGCCGCAGTCTTTGGCGATGGAGCAATAGGACTTGTTGACACTACACTGCTTGTCCCAGAGAATGTAAACGTCTTGAGAGGAGAAGCGACCTTGGTCGTTGAAGGAGCTACTGGACTCGTCTGGACTCCATTGGTCACGACTTGCGAGAATGGTTTGCGTTTCTTGACAGCAGGAGTGATCAGGCTTGTCTGGACTCCATTGCTCAAAACCTCGGAAAAGGATTTGCGAGGTGAAGTGACTGTTTGAGCGGAAGAATTGACCATGGTAGGAGTGAATTTCTGGATCAGAGCGGCGATTGGACTGGTCTGTACGCCATTACTGATGACTTGTGTAAAAGACTTCTTTGGCGATGCGACAGGACTTGTTTGACTTTCTGCACTGCTTGTCTGAGCCTTCTTGGGCGACTCAATAGGGCTGGTCTGAGTACCATTGTTGACATTCTTGGGCGTTGGCTTGGGGCTCATCTGAGTACCAGCAGAAGCCATCTCAACAGGCTTCTTGATCGAGGGATGAATAGCGACAGACACAATCGCCGACATCTCCAACGCCTGCTCAACCTTCTTTGCAGGTCTCTCAGATATCATGCTGCGAATACTGCGATCATCAGATGCATAGCCTCCATCTTCAGAGTCATATCCATCATCACTGAGAGCTTCAAACTCATCCGCAAGGTTCATGCCACTGAGCGAAGAGCGCTTGTTCTTCTTGGGAGGGCTGGGTCCATCAGCCTGCATGGCAGACCACTTCTCCATGAAGTCGTAGAGTACATCGTCAAGCTCTTCGGCAGGAAGGTCTTTGCTGATAGTGATGTGACGTTCAAAGATGTCGAGTTTTTCATGCAAGATGTCGATCTCCTCATCCTTGGTCTCCAACTCTTGTCTCAAGTTTGCAATATCACCTTCCAACCCCTTGGTCTCTGTAATCTTGTCATCACGTTCCGTCCTAGTCAAGTCCAACTCAGCAGTAAAGTTGCGAACTTCAGCTTCTCTATCTTCGATAGCCTTTTCCAAGTCCGGAAGATTTCTGAGTTCCTTTTCATTGGCCTTGACTATTTCCTCAAAGTGCGAAGATTGTCGACGTAACTTTTTGTTTTCCTGTTGGGTTTCTTCGTGTTCTTGTTTGTGTGCTTCGATGTGCGCTTTCAGTTTTGTGATGATGAGGTCTTTTTCTTCGAGTTGGATGGTCTGGTCTTCGACTTGGTCTTGCAGTTCGGAATTTGATCTCTCATAGTAGGCAAAACTGTCGTCGCGTTGAGCGAGTTTCTCCTTGAGGTCTTTGATTTTGTCTTTCAGGCTTTGAATTTCTCGGTGCAGGTGTGCTTGTGGGTCGATGATGGCGGGAGACGGGGGCTCGCTCGACATGATTGGATTGGCGCTGGGATGTTTGATGTTTGCTTCTGGCAAGGTGGATGCGCAAAGAGTGGTCTGGTCATGATGGTGAAGAAGCTCATTGTCGTGAACTGACAAAAGAATTCAATCGCCGCATTTGGAAGTGCTGGCAACGACAAAGAAGTGAAAGTTGCGGATGTTCGAGCTACTTTGATGGCCGGAAATGGAATTTCAACAGGATTGTTTCACTTTTCGAGCTGTTTGTCTAGACACTGGGCAACACATTCAGCAAACACTTTCTGTTTGATTGGGTCTTTGAGCTCAAATTGTTTTATTGTCTCAGGGCTGTGAGATTTCTTGCTGCATTGTATCAAGGTATCTTGCGATATGAGTTGAAAGAAATTACATGCGAAAGTTGCGTACCGACGTCTGGTGAGAACCATCCAACACTCCACCTCACCCAACCTGAGCAATGCATGGAGATCAAAGACAATGCAGATAATGGGCAGAGAAAAACAGGATATTAGAAGTAAGAAAATCAAGCGGTAAAAACCCAAATGCACATCCTTCCCTCCTTTACTACAAAGGCCAGTCGGCATTTCTGGTACGCTTGGCAGGCGATCTGCTTCTACTGGGATTGGCCTTTCTCTTTGTACCGTGAGTCTCATCACTGCCGAGGTAGTGGAATGTTTGGTCGGCCTCCAAGACATCCTCATAAGAAATTTCAGGCAGTTTCCAAGGGTTATAGGGAGTGATGGGTTGTTCGGGGTAGAGAGACTTTTTGATGTTTCCGAGAATCTTCTTGAGCGTGTAGAAGGAGCCGCCTTGGAGTGCCTCTTTGGCTTCTCTGCCTATGGAAAAACAAATCAGTTGGAGTGGTAAAAGAGATGAGACGCTGTCACTTACCACGAGCCAGATCAGCTACTATCTGTCTGCTCATGACTTGCTCCATGTGAGGAGTTTCGCCGTATGGGAAGCGAGCAAGCTCTTTGCGATGCCAAACCTCTGGGTGGGGCAGTTCGGGAAGTTTGGGTTTGGCAGCAGCTGCAGGAGCTGCAGCAGGAGTAGTAGGAACACCGGCAGCAGGAGAAACCTTCTTTGGACTGGCTTTGACGGCAGCAGCTTTCTCAGCGCGAGCTTTTGCAAGGCGCTCTCTGTCTTGAATCTGCATGACTTGGTTCTTAGGATGCTCCGGTCTGCCTGTCGTGGTGCCATCTGGGTGGAGACGCCACTGGTCACCTTTCTTGGGCTTGATGGGTTTGTACATAGACTGGCTGTCTGGGAACTGGTCGCGAGTGAACCACTGTTCATCACCCTGCTCGATGCGATTCCTGTGGGTCCAGATCATGTAGCGGACTCTACGACCAAGCATCTCGGGGTCGTCTTCATCGTCAGCAACGATGCCGTCCATCAGAGGATGATTCTTCTCCAACCAGTCGTCCAACCTATCCAACTTGTCCTCAAAGTCCTGCAGGTTTTCAACACCGTCGTCGGATAGAAAGTTGATGGCTTGGCGCATCTTTTGCTTGATGTCGACAGGAGCGGGCACCTTTTCGCCGTAGCGATTGCGAACAGCAGGCTTGTCCGAGACAGTCATGGGTTCAGGCTTGGGAGGAAAGGGGTTCATTCTGTGTTCGGGCGGGGGAGAGTCTTTGATTAGACCCTTGGCTGGCGACACAGTGCGAGTACGGCGGGTGGTCGTCTTTGGCTTGTCGGCAGTGGGAGGTGGTGGTTCAGGGCGACCTCTGGGGCGTGCCGGAGAGCGCGACTTCTTGGGAGAAGCAGCAGGCATTGGAGGAGCTTCTACAGGCGGAGGAGGCTGCGGTTGTCTCGAGGAGGAACGAGTGGAGCGTCTGGTAGTCGAGGGCTCTCTACGAGTTTCTGACGGAGCAGCGTGTTTGCCTAGTGCCTTGCCTTTGCCGTGTTTCTCGGCGAACAGCGCTTTTCCTGTCAAAGGCTTTGATCTCTTGGGCGACGGACGCTCTGTATCCGTCTCGGTTTCGACACCTGAGCCGTAGCCGACGAATGTTGGCTTCTTGGGCGGCATGATTGATGTGTTTTGAGCTGGTTGACAGCCAGTGTGAGTGAAAGTCAGTCAGGACGGGGCGCGAAGACAAGACAAGTCCAACGTATGTGCGACAGTCTTGAGAGTCGTCAAAAGAAGGAGAAGGTGCATTTGTTGACTTGGCTGTCTTCATGGAGATGAGGCTGCATTCCTTACCTACAGATGCATACCATAGCTGCATTCCACACAGGAAAACAGCAAACAAGCGCCATGAGACTACATGAACAATCGCTCACACTGCAGCTGCGACCTGTAGAGGAGCTTTAGCAAGGACAATTACCTTCCTTGCCATGTCTATCTTGCTGACTGCAGGTGCTCAAAGCGCTCCTACCTTTGCGACATGAACCGCGGCATGTTTCGGAGCCTATACAGTTGTGACACTTGGAGCTTCGCCAGCGTGTTGAACGTGGAGAGCGAGGATATCAGCTGACTCTGAGAGGCTGTTCATAGCCATGGCGCCTCGGAATGGCATGTTCGCTGGTCGTTGTTGGTATGCACAATTGTGAGAGCGCTGGAGGAAGAAGCAAAAGCTCAACGCCGCATCTCGTTCTTGGCGCCCGAGCTCCAAATCAATCACTCGTTCGATCCTGTCACGTATCACATACAAAACTCCTCGAGAGTATTTTCTAGACCAAAAAGTGGCTGCTGCTGGTTTGAAGTGCAGCTGAGCGTGCATAAGAAGCGGGTAAGAATTATGACGGTGACATGATTGCATAACTATCGCTCCATAGTGGTGCATGCTCGAGTCATTAGGGCTGTCAATGGCGCCAAGGACTTCTCGAAGGCGAAACGAAGGTACAATTGGAGCAGGTGGCAATTAAGGGTCCAAGTCCATGACGCTTGATGATGGGTTAGCTAAGCAAAGTCGCAAGAGCCGGCGGGGTGTCAAACAATTCTGGAAGGTGCAGAGAGGAAGGTCGCTCCTTCTGATTAAATATCCCATCTTTCGCCTTCTTGTCACCGACCTCCTGTCGCATTACCTTCGACTCTTCAGTTAATCGCAATCACGAAACCACTCACACTCATCCTCCTCATCGCCGTCGCGATCGCAACTCCGCCCATCATGAACTCGCTCTTTGCACGTCTGTCGCGCCCCTTCACATCGTCGACCATGCGCTTTGGACCCGAGGGACCTGGTGCCGTCTCTGTCCCTGAAGGCACCGAGAAGGCCACAGTAGCAGCAGGTTGCTTCTGGGGTGTTGAGCACATGTACCGCCACCACTTCCCCAAGGACGCCGTGCTGGACGCCAGAGTCGGCTACATTGGTGGCGACACCCAGAACCCCAGCTACCGCGCTGTTTGCACTGGCAAGACCGGCCGTAAGTGAACCTCATACGCAGGCGACATATTGCAGCAAGTACTGACTCTCTCCTCCACAGACGCCGAAGCTCTCCAAATCTACTACAACCCCGACAAGGTCTCGTACCAAAAACTGCTCGAATTCTTCTACCGCATGCACGATCCCACCACCGTAGACCGTCAAGGCCCTGATGTAGGCACACAATACCGCAGTGGTATTTTCGTCCACAACGACCAGCAAGACAAGATTGCCAGAGAAGTCACAAAGAAGGTTCAAGAGCAGTGGTGGAAGCAAGGAAAGATTGCCACCGAGATCCTGCCTGCAGGCGAGTGGTGGGATGCCGAGGCCTACCACCAAAAGTACTTGGATGTCAACCCTGGAGGTTACGAGTGCCCGAGTCACTTCTTGAGAAAGTTCCCTGATCTTGATTAAATTGCTTGCTTGCAGATTATACCCTATTCCTATGAATTCTAAATATGATGGTCCTGTTTCTCCGTCTCGGAATGTCTCCTGCTCAGCTCAGAGTGCTCGTACTCTTGTTCGCTGCTGTCTTCGCTGATGGCTGAATTCCTCCTTCTAACCGTATTCTCAGTCTCTGCTCCGTCTGGTGTATCAACCGCCACCATACTTCCTCGATCAATAGCAAATCTCGGCGGCCGCTCCAACCAACTCGGATTCTGCGACGAAGTACTGCTGTTCCTCCTACTATCGAACGGCGACTTGAGGAACCTCCACCACGCCCTAAAGATCTCAAACTTGAACAAGAGGATAAAAGCCTCTACGCCGACAAAAGCAATGACGTATAACACAGCCACCGCCATTGATTGTGGAAGAATCAGTTTCTGGATGTCGGGGAGACATTTATCTGTGTTGTGTTGTTGCAGGATACAAAGGACCCATGGGATGACTTTGGATGTGTCGTCGAAAGTACTGGTCGTGTATGCGTCCACTTTGAATATGAAAATGATACACACGAAGGCAATGACGAAAATGGCCAAGGCGACTATGGCCAACGATCGCCATTGAAGCAGCAAAACTTGTCTGAGGCGACGTACAGCAGTCCAGGCTTGCCGTTTGCTAGAAGCTGATTTGACAGAGTTTGTCGCGTTGCTGCCTGAGGGAGGAGCTCGTCCATGCATCGCAGCTGTCAGATACACTTTGGCGCAGTACACAAACGTGGCGACTTGGATGAGTAAAGCCAGTGCTCCGAAGCCGATCATCCAACCCCAGTACGTAGACGTGCTTCCAATATTGACATGACAATAATCGCCAAAGCGGTAGGAGACACCCACGTGAGCAAGACATGCAGCCGTCAACGCGATAGTAACCGACCACGCCGCAACATTCGCAGCAATGATGGAAACGCGCCCAGGAACGATATCCCAGCAGATTTGGAGGTGCATGAACACGGACCGAACCACGATCCAACACACCGTCAACATACCCCCAAACACCACCATACCACCCGTAGCAGCACAAGAAGTACTGCTGTGGATATCATTAGGCGTCACGGGATCAAAGCATTGTTCAGGTTCTTGAGCTAGTGGAACGATAAAGCCCATTTCCATGATCATGATGCCGGCCAGAAGAGCGACATTCAAGAATGAACGTCGGGTTGCTGATGCTGGGAGAACAGCGTAGGAGAGAAGGAGGAAGCCGCAGAGGATGAAGCCGACGACATTTACCCATGCTGCGCCATCTGTGAGACCGGGGAAGCTGGACGAGTTTACCCAGTCAGATAATGGACAGGGGACGCAGCATTTGGAGCCATGGCCGGTGGTGTCGAGAGGATTCTTTGCGCAGTTGCGGCCTGCGTAGACTGGTTGGACAGTCAGTATACAGTGAGTCTTGGGGTCAGGAGAGAGTAACTCACAGCCTTGAGTATATGGATAGAGGCTTTCGCTGATGAAAGGATGTGGACACCCGCCAGCATCAAGAGTAATGTTTCCAAGCAGGGTAAGCAAGTTCGAGTTGGCAGACATGGTTTTGCTGGTCTGTAGCTTTAGGTCTTCAAAACTGCTGAGGGGTATAGGAAGGTGTCAGATTTGTGGGACTTCAGGATACCCTGGACATCTTGCTCAAAGACTTGGACTGGCATTTCGACTTTCAGTCCAGACACACTGTCTGTATTCGAACAACAAAGAGTGTTAGTGGTGTGTACCGTTTCCGGCTCCAGGAGACAATGAAAGATGTTGGTAGGAAAAGTGGCTTGAAGCATTCCTCAGCCCATGCCGAATTTGATATGGCTGAGAACAAGGAATGAATTGTTGTTCATGCTGCACCGCGACTCGCTCGAGTCCCTTCGAAGCGACAAGTCGAGTCTATAGAGAGCATTGATGAGGTTGGATCTGTCATGCTTTCGGCTTTGTTCTGCAGAGACAACACCATGGGCGATTCAGAGCAGGAGATAATCTGAAAAAAGTCCATGGAGGATCGTGTCAAAGACAGACTACAATGCATAGCCAAAGAGTACATGTCCCCAATGATGCTCTGTCGTCCAAAAATGCAATGTTCTGCATCGGGTCCAGGTTCACTCGTTGCTATCGACAAAAGGGAACATACTTGAAGAAAAAAAAAAAAAAACAAAAAACAAACCAACAGCAAGACAAAAAGAAACATCATGTCGCGAAGCAGGTCGGTCAGGATTAATCGCCCTTATGTCTGGCATGTCTTCTCATAATCCACTTGATCATTTGATTCATCGATCACCAGTATTTTGTTCGGTATTCGGCGTCTCGAGGTGCTTCCAGCGCTGTTTCAACATTTCATCATGCTGCTTCTGCCACCTTTGTGAGGATTCTTCGTTCAGTCTAGATATCGCATCTTGACATTTATCCTTGTTGTACACCGACAAATCGGGCCAACCGTGCTCTTGGTATGCATGCCTGACCGCAACAATCAGGGAATCAAATTTGTCGAGATCTTGCTTTGTTTCGTATTCATCAAACCACCAGTCGATTTGATGCGGTTTCACAGGCACATGTTTCAAAGTCCTGAGTTCATTTTTCAAGACTTCGAAAAAGTCGGGAATGCTCCATGCTGGTTTCCGCCAACCGTGTTCGTTCTCAGGGGTGCAGTCTTCGAAAGGATCTGAGCCGCCTGGTGGCTCGGTGATGGGCTTTCTGATCGGGTTTTCGTCAAAGTCGGGGGCTTCTAACCAGTGGACAGTGCCGAATTTCGTGTCGAGGATGAAGGTTTCGCTGTTGCGGCCGCCGCATATGAGACCAAAAGCTGACGAAGGTACGTCTTCCCAGTCTAGTCCTTCAGTGATGATTCTGACTTTTTCTGAATTGAACGGGGTGACTCCCCCCAACCATACATGATCGGTGAGCAATTTAGGCCAGTATGCTACCGAGGCGTGGCCGAGAAGTTGAGTCTCCTTAGCAACGTAGGGAAGACGACGCATCAATTCGAAGACTTCGTCGTTTTTGCCTAGCTCGGCGACTCTTTCTTTTGAGACGGTTGGCCAACCTTCAGCTGGCGGTTCGTGGACGAAGTCTTCTGGTAGAAACATGTTTGTGAGGAATTGGTAATAGTCACGGACGGCGGCAATGGTGGCCTCGCGGGAGTAGGTGATTTCATCGAGTGTCGGCATGATGAGAAAGAGATGGGCTAGCGTAGTTTATCAAACAGAAGATGCGAGACAGTTACTGAGATCCGAGAGAGGAAGATGAAGGTTCATGTGCCTTTATATTCAAACCATGATCAATGGAGCTGGTTGCCTGAAGCTGCGAGCGCGTCAAGATTGGTTGCCTCGACATGCGAGTCATTAACATCTTTGAGGAGGGTTGAGCACAATTTCAAAATCTCGGCCATTGGTGTGTTGCTCTAACAGTTAGAACCAGCAGGAAGGTATCGAATGCCTGCTGGATGTTGTGTTGCTCGAAGGATGTCGGTCAGGAATATATGCAGAAGTCGCGACCAAGCCGCAACTTCCTTTTTTGGAACATTAGAAGCACAACTTATCATGCAACGCTCTTGCACTCCATTCTCTTCTTTTCTCAACACGATTCTTTTATATTTTCTGCTACCCTTCGAGATATATTGATTCTGAATCTTCTGCTTGATTGTGCAAGAGATGGAAAGATGATGCTGGTCAGAGCAGGGTGAGTACGTCAACGATGATTTTTCACGTGACGTCGCAGCAAATGGCAGGCGCGTCATGCTGAATTTCTTGGACAGTCGAACAGAAACAAAAAACAAGCGCGGCCATGCCAGTAAGTCAATCATGGTGTGAATGAAGAAATGCGCTGACGACGAATCAGCTCATCCTCATTTCTGGGTTTCCGTCAAGCGGCAAGACGTACCGCAGCGAACAGCTCAAGGAATACTTTGCGCAAAGAATCGCTGCTTCAGAGGATGCGCGCATTTCGAGACTCAAGATTCACCACCTGAACGATCAGAATCTGGGACTTGACCGCGAGGTCTATGCTGCTGCGAGAAGCGAAAAGGATGCGCGCGCCACTCTGTCTTCGGCCATCAAGCGTGACTTGACAGCAAATTCAATCGTCATTGCCGACTCGATGAATTACATCAAGGGCTTCCGCTACCAGATGTTTTGTGAAGCAAAGGCCCAGCGCACCCCGAGTTGTGTTGTGAGTTGACACTTCCCCTTTTACTCCTTACTCAGCTGCTGACAATGTCAAGGTGCACATCGGAACGCCCGTCGAAAAGTGTCGCGAGATCAACGAAAAAGCCCTTGCCAACGGTACTGGAGGCTACCAGAGCGACCTGTTCGAAAACCTCGTCTTCCGCTACGAAGAGCCAAATGGCATGACACGATGGGACTCTCCTCTATATACAGTGCCCTACGACGACGACACGCCGCCGCTTGAAGAGCTTTGGGATACTCTGGTTGGTGGAAAAGCAAAGGCTGTCAAGCCAAACTCGGCCACAGTCCTGGCTCCTGCTACCGAGCAAAACTACCTCTACGAGCTGGACAAGACGACGTCTGACATTGTCGCTCAGATCTCGGCCTGGCAGAAGGATCATCCGGGAGAGAGCGGCGGTGAGATTTCTGTTGCTGGTGCTGAGCACGACATTGAGCTGCCCGCAAATCCCCTTGGCCTTCCACAACTGCAACGTTTGCGCAGGCAATTCATCACCATGAACCGCACCCACAGCCTGACAAAGGACCGCATCAAGGACTTGTTCGTCGACTACCTCAACGATACTTTCCAGGCAGCATGATCCGGCAACCACAAGACCTGCAAAAAATACACAAGAGCCCGACGCTCGTCAGCTGGCGACCTCGTCCAGCAAGAGCCGCTCGCCCAGCAACGCTCTCAAATGGCAAAGGCTTCGGCTGAGGCATGGCCTCCGACCTCCGAATCTACAGCCCCTGACAGTAGCATTGAATCATGCTACCCAGCGCCCTTCTGTTTTACACAGCTGGTAGCATAGCTGAAAGGTACAACTGATGGACCGGCTATCTGCCTCTTCGGCAGTCACGGCCGCTTGTCCATCGCCCAAGGAGGTCTCTCAGAGAGCTCTCTGAAGAGAAGACGATTTACGCCGGCAGCTAGGCTCTATCCTGACCCACGTTCCATAGACGAACCGCAATGCCACGTTCTTCGATTGACTTTCCCTATATTCCTGTGCAACGTGTATATCCTTCACGCATCGTAAACCTCGGGACATGCTCTCATACAACCGCTCGGAGCGTGTATCGACATCGCGTCGCTGGGCGAATCGGTACATTGCTTGCATTCACAGGTGGCCCCTTTGTTGCATTGTCCATTGTTGTCGCCTTTCAACGACCATACATCAATGCGATCCAATTCGTGTCAGCTTTGTTCGGACCAGTCGCTTTCCTTTATCACCAAGTCGGTCATTGTTCTCTGGTCTTTGTCGACGAATTTCAAGACGATGTTGAAGCATGTCTTGCCAGTGTACAAATAGCCTCTACAGGCTCGTCGTTACACTGACCACACACACGCACATCACCACCAAAAAATACAACAGAGCAGCTCAGCGATCTTGTTTTTTCGATCTACACACAAAATCACCATATCTACAAAACAACAAGATGTCTGACTTGCTTGAAAACTTCTCCATTGAGGACTTGCTGACTCCCACTGCCGAGCAGAGCTCGAGCACCCTCAGTCTGCCTGACCTTGATCTCTCCAACACGGACTTGAACTTTGCGTTCTCCGACCTTCCTGACATCCCTGATGACTTGTCCCTTCCCTCGATTGATTCTTCTGTTTCTTCCTACTTTGATTCATCCTTCGATTCGGACACTGGTCTCTTCAACAATTCTGGCTCTAGCTTCAACAGCTTTGCCTCGTCCAATATTGGTCAGTTCCCTCCTCAACAATTCATGCCTATGTACCCTCCTCAGTACCCTACTGCTTTTGGTTATCAACCTCCTCCTGGTTTCATGTTGGTTCCTGCTCCTAACTACTACGCTCAACAGCCCATGATGCAGCCTCCTTTCCAAATGCCAATGCAGAACCCTGGCTTCACGTTCGCTCCTGCTCCTGATGCACCTACTTTCCCAAGCTTTGATCTTGAGCCTGAGCCAATGTCTGGTGACTCTGTCTCAACTCCTGTCAGAAGGTCTCGCAGAACTGCTGGCAAGAAGACTTCTAATGATGACACTCCTTGTCCCTCGCCCGCTCCTGTCAAACGCCAAAAGGTCTCTCGTCCTAAGAAGGCTGACAAACCTGAGAAGATTGAGAAACCCGCTTTTGAGCTTAAAGCACCGATGAGTGTTCTTACTGCTGAAAGTGATCTGCCTATCAAAAACATACTCGAATTTGCCTCTCGTTCGACCGCTCTGAGACTTAGTGAAGCTAGAAAGAACGGCAAGATCCCCAGACCTTCCAACTCGTTTGTCTGCTATCGCTCTGCTTATGCTGATCGTATCAAACAATGGGCCTCTGAAGACAACCACCAGGGTGTTTCTAGGATTGCTGGTGCCAGCTGGAAGCTTGAGCCTGACGACGTTCGCAACTTCTACATTGAATGTGCTGAACTCGACAGAGCCAATCACGCCAAAGCTTTCCCTTCCTACAAATTCAAGCCTAAACAAAAATCGACTTCCCGCTCTGCTCGCAGCCCCTCTCCTGATGAGAGTGATGATGAGCCTACCCCCAAAGCTAAGAAGTTCAAGGAGCTCGCTTCTCGCCCCTCGAAGAACGACTCCGATGATGAGATGGCTTCTCTGTTTGGTGACAGCCCCTCTTCTTCTCCTGCAAAGTACAATCTTCGTCGTAGATCGTAGGTAAGTTACACCTCCTTCCCCATCTAAGAATCGCCCCAAAGACACGCCGGCCCTGCAACCTCTCATTTGGTAGGTCTTTTGCTGCACTGTTTCCAGGCGTTCTTGGTTATCTTTACGTATGTGTGTGTGTCGTCAATGATAATATTTTTTTGGTCCATCAAAATCTTTCCTCCCATCTTTCAGTCGTGACTGCTAACAACGACGTGATATTCTGCCTACCTCAGCTCCAAATGAGCACACACTCGTCTCAAGCCCAAACCTCGGCGTTGCCGATTGGTCGTTGATATGAGACTCATCCATACCAAGACATCTTTATCCTGTCGCGTGGTCGCCAATGCATCATATGAGATGTATTTCATTCATTTGAGATGTATATCAATCATTCCCACGTGGCTTGGGACTGCCACGAGCCTCGACAAAGAACTAGCCGAGTCAGAGACAAAGATACAAGCGAGCATCTTCACAAATCAGTCCGGCATTACAAATTCAGAACAAAGACCCCACGTGCGCTGAGGAAGCGAATTTTGTCCAGGAAACAAAGACATCTCAGGCACCGAGACATGACGACAAAGAGTACTGCCGAGGCAGATTTGTGACAACATGTCTCGCTAGCTATCCGAGGATATCACTGAGCAAATTGTCAAATCTTGTCTCGTTTCAAGTCAAATATGCAACATTCATTGTTGGGTCTGTCAATGGCTGTGAGGCAGGTGCTTAAAGTATTTGCTTCAGCTGCAGCCATGCGAGATCATCACTTTTTCCGAGTAATTCGAGTCGCTTGACGCTTCACTACTTGTGCTTCTCCTATCTCATCTCTTCTTGTCACGGACTGGATCCTTGACACAAAGATCACTTACCTCACACGAAGCAAAACTTATTCTGAAGCCGGCCTTCTTCACAACATTTATTCTGGAAAAGATGCCTGCAAAGATCAACACATCGGCTGTGCCATTCCGATCTTCGCGTCTCGCAGTCCCCCCTTCGCCTTTTTCCCCGGCAGAACCGATCACTCCCGCTCCTCTCAAACGAACTTTTTCCGCCACTGCCGATATCGATTTGATTCGATACCTACCTCCTCCCTCCAGACAACCCACGAAATGGCTTTGGGCTTGCCATATCTGCCATCGTCAATACAATCTCTCCGTTACTCGCCGCTGTCTTGATGATGGCCATTACTTCTGCGCCGGCACTTCAGTCGTTCGATTGCGCAAAGACGGAACCAAGAAACTTCCTCGCCATAAAGCTTGTGCGTCTGAATTCGACTATGCGGGTTGGAAGGATTGGGGCGTGTGGAAACGCAATCTTCTGCTTTTGACGCAGCAACAGAGGCAACGAAACAGTCCTTGTGACAGTGTTTTTGATGATGATTCTGAAGATGAAGTGGAGGAGATTATCACTGCATCTGTGGTTTCTCCAATCACTGCTGGGATGCCTGGCACTTCCTGGCGTGATGCTATACCAAACAAGGATTGCTGGAATCGATGCGATTACCCCTCCGAATGCCGCTGGGGCAAACAATTTGGCGTCGACACACCTCTCCAACCGACATTCCCGACTTTGGATCGCGTACCCAGTATTGCCAACCCCAACAAAACTCCCACCGACGACTCTACAGATCTTGTAGATGTGGACATGAATGATGTACCTTCCCCCGCTGCTGTTCAACCAAAAACACACTTCAGCGATATCTTGACGGCGGAACAACAACAAGTCGTTGCCGAAACTATCGATGGTGTTGAAGTGGAAGAGAGCCATCCTGCTCATACTCCCATTCCTGCATTAGCGGATCTTGCGGGTTTGGTGACTAGAGCTCAACGACGACATTCAAGGTCTGAGATTCCTGCTTCTCCTCTTGCATCTGATGGGCAAGAGAGTCGGAGGGTGACAAGGAGTTCAAGCAGGGAGAGTCTCAGAAGAGCTGTTGAAGGTGGTATTGGTGTTATTGTGGGGTTCGTTGGGTGGAGGAGTTATAGTGCTCCTCCTGTTGGTAGAAGAAAAGAAGATGAGAAGGGAGATGGAGATGTGGGTATGGTGGACGTGGAGTTAGAGGAAAAGGGCATTGGGAGTAAGAGAGGCAGAAGGAAGAGTTTGGAATAATCGATGCTATTGATGTAGCCATTCGCATTCTGTATTCGATGATTTGTACAATTTCAGAATATGGTTCTCCTGGACTCGTGTTTTTTCACTCAGCCTCGCTCCAAAAAGCAAGCCATCTTCCAATAGGATAGTTCACGACTGTCTTCAAAGTTATGAGTTACGGTAGCAGGAGCAATTCACAAAATCAGACAATGAAATGTTGTCACTTGTACACAGGAATCATCTTCTCTGACCGACTCTGAGAAGTTGCGACGTCCTGCTCGTCAGGCGCAATCCACCCCAGGAGTCAGCGAGGACAACAAGACATGTTGAGACAACAGCTCTCTAACGGCAAGAGAATGTGCCCGGGGAACACAGGCCACCGTAGATTTGAAAATTATAGTCGCTCTCCCTTGGCATGACCGGATGAATCTCCATCACATTGACAAGATTCGCCATCTTTGTCTGGTCGAGGATATCGCTATGGACATATTACATGGGGATATAGTTCCTATCTTTCGAGGATCTCGCAATACTTCAGATACACATGGTATGCTGGGCTATGCGGGAAGGCATGGGGAGGTACACTTGTAAATACACGTCTCGTGGATTGCTGCTCTATATACATCATAAAAAGCCGTCAACAAAAACAAAAAAAAACAACATCGCAATCGTGAGAACATCCAACAATATCTACACATTAATACTCGATCAACTAGTCTCCTCTCCGCACTCTTCTGCTCCATCACATCACAGCCTGCTCAGATCTATGGTCCATTAAACTAGGGATCTCTGGCATGGGCGGCAGAGACGTATCGAAAGGATTAACCTCTTGATCACCAATATCTCCAGCTGCAGGGGTCGGAGGGATAGTATCAAGATTAGTATGCTTCCACCCCTGATTAGCAGGCAAAGACATGGGACAAGCAGAAGAAATACTGTTGCGGAAGCTGTTGCGTCCATTATAGTCAGGAGCATTGAACGACGAAGACCTGACATGATGGTTCTGAGTGGAGAAAGAACCAGAGCGACTGCCAGGAAGCGAGACAGTAGAGGAGCGGCTGGCAGGTGCGGAGCTGAAAGCGCTCGAGAAACGACGGAACATGGTTCCAGAGAAGCTGGAGGAGCGAGAGGAGGTACCCACGGTATCGGGCTCGGGCTCACCGCTCATGAGGTTGAAGACTCCTTTCAAGGCAGAGACGCCGTGACCGACGCTGGTCTTGACTTCGTTCCAGCTTTCCTCGAGGCGGATGAAGTCGTGCATGTTCTGATCGAGAGCCAAAAGATGCTTCAGGACAATCTCAATGCTGTCAGCGATGATAGTGGTGCCGGTGATCCAAACAGCGGCGGCGGTGTTTTGAACGCTGATCGGCTGCTGCTGGATCAGTGCGATAGCAGAAGAAGTAGCCTTGTCGATCGCATGATCGGCCATCTGCTTCTGCATCTGCACATCAACGAAGACCTTGCTTTTCTCATGACACCCACCATTGCCAACGCCAGCCTCAAAAAGATAAGTCTTGAGACTGTTGTAAACATTTTTGAAAGCGTCCTCATGCACATGAGCAATCGAAGCATTCAAGTCATCGAGGCCGGAAAGCACGCTATCAGCTTCGTCACCAAGAGTTGCTGACAATGTAGCAACGTGATTGGTGTTGTCGAAAAGAGCTTGAGCCTGCAAGGTCTTGAAGAAAGTGAAGTCGCCTGAGCGGTGTGCTGCGTGCAGGTTGTGGCGGACGAGGGCGATGCGCTGCTGCCAGTGCAGTTGTTTGTTCATGTCGAAGATGATGTTGAATTCTGCCAGTTTGGTGATGATGCTTTTGTTTGAAGAATGACGTGCGCTGAGCAATGCAACAACAAGCCTGGAAAACGAGAAAGTATGTATGTACAAGCAGAAACGAAAAGGCTTGACAGTCTTGGTAGAGTAGCAGCAGATTCTCGAGGGACGGTCGAAAAAGCCGCTCTGCCTTATACCATTTCTTCGACCAACACACCACGGCTGAGATGTTGTCAGTGGCTGCGTCGAACTTGTTTGTCTATCGGGTGGGTCTACGTATGTCACGCCGGTTCCGACTAGCTGGTTCATGGAATCTTCGATGATGCTTAGCGCGATGCCTCGAAGTAGGGTGTATAAGCTTTCCTTGCAGAGAAGCTCTTTGTCTGGAAGCTGTTTGCAGAGGTCAATTCAAGTCTTTTCAAGTCTTCCCGAGAGCTTCATTGTGACTGCAGAAAGCTCTGAAAGGATTTCTGCGCTTGTAGTTGCAAGGTGATGACTGCGAATGCCGCTATAGACATTTCACTTGCATCACCGCGAACCATCGGTACCATTTGCCGCATTTCATGGTTTCTGTCAAAGACTAATCTACCAATGAACTTCGATTCCGATGTTCGGCATGCCGATATAGAGTCGGTTCTGATTGCCTGCCGAAGTTCATGTGATCACATTCCAAGAACATCGTCCATACATTCCTCGCTGGCCACCAAGTTCAACACCGCAGCTGGACACGCTGCCCTCACAATGTAACTGTTCCACCAGCTTCAGACTCAAGGTGACCGGTCGGTCAGTCAGTAAGTGAGCAACAGATGGTGTGATAACGACCTTACATGCTTTAATCTCGAAACAACTTGTCGTGCGCTTATATGCAAGACTGAGTGCGTACGACCTATTGCAGAATCGAGAAAAACTGACGAACGGCACGAAAATGGTCATCACATGTGTAGCAGCTTGTCTCGAGAGACGGTTGGTGCTTCTCCACGACACCGGAAGTTTCTTGACTGTTGCTCAGCCGGTATGGCCAAGGTCCACGTTCCCGCCACGCCAAAATGGCACACACAATGCAAACGAGTGTTATCCTGTCATGACCTAATCTCACGACTTTGTCTCACCTTTGTCCGTGGTTGAAAGCGGAATCAAGTCGTGAATATCTGCGGCGTGCGGTCTGCACAAAGAATGTTGCCGAAAACGGACGCCACTACCTCTCAATAGGATCACGCCCATTTTATCAGGCCCGTTCATGGTCACAATAGTAGTCTTTCTATATAGCTCATCTGTAGACACTGCTTGATTTGCTACAAACTAAGCAAAATCATGCGTTTCTCAGTTATCACCATCGCATCTGCAGCTGTTGCTGCTGCAGGAACCAGCGCCATTGAAGTGGCTGGTAAGTTTGTGATTATTGTGCCTGGAAATGGATAATCTGACGTCCTTGCAGAAATCCCCGGCTACGAGCCAATTCCCAAGGCTGCTACAAACAAGTACTCTCAAAATGCACCATCGGCCATTCCTGACTTCGCAACCGGCTCATTCGAGCCCACGTACATGCCAGCAGAGGATCTGAAGCCCAGTAGCATTCTCGCTCGTAGTGTAACTTCAACATCTGCCACTGCAAGCTCCTCCACTCCAGTCCCGGACGAGCCAGCTGATGACAGCTATGAGGCTTTCGTGCTATGGATGAGTGCTCGTCTGACTCAGGAAGTTCCTGAAAAAGCCGAGCACAGCCATGTCGCCCGCAGCGTGGCTTCTTCGCCAAGTGCAAAAGTTGAAGCCTCTGCAGACGGACCAGCTGATGACACCTATGAGGGCTTCGTCACTTGGATGGAGTCTCGTTACCCCAAAGAGTTTTCTGAACAAGTCAAACAGAAGATCAATGTTCGAGATGTCGAGCAGCACACCACCACCAGCAGCACAACTAGCGCAACCCCTTCCGCAGCCGCCAGCATCACTGGCCCTGTTGATGACACTTATGAAGCTTTCGTTACCTGGATGGACTCCCGGCACCCCAAAGAATTCTCTGAGCAAGTCAAGCAGAAGATCAATGCTCGAGATGTTGTATCGCAGGCTGCTACGACTGCCAGCACAACTGCCACCACGACGACAACCACTGTCGCAGCTGCCACCGGCGCTGACCCTGCGAATGAGAGCTACGAGGAGTTCGTACATTGGATGAACTCACGCTTCCCTGATGGATATCCTGCTGAGGACCACCATGAGCTCAATGCCAGATCGGTTGACACTCATGAGACATTGCAGGGAAACGGGCACGAGATGCCTGATTGGAGCTATGCTTGGAATGAAGAAGTGGAGCATCATCTCCAAGCCAGATCGGCAGAAGATGAGAACAATGGAGCTCCTTCTGACTTCGAATATGAATCTGATCCTGATGCCCATGCCGCATCCGAGACCGAATATCCTTATCTCGAGGAGACCTTCGAGGAGTTCCCTGCACGTCAAGGCTATAGCCCCGAACAGTACGCCCAGGAGGGCGAGCCTTCCGATTTACACGAAGAAGAGCCTAAGTCTCAGGCTGCGGCTAACTCAAAGCCATCAGTCTCTGAGGTCGCTGCTTCGCCAGCCGCCGCTGCTACCCCCGAGCCAACCTCTGCAGTAACTTCATCTGCGACCACTTCGACTTTCGCATCGCAGTATTCTGGCCAGATGAGTGAGACTTCTACGGTCTCGTCTAGCTCTGCCACCAATCTTCAAGCACGCTCTGTGAGTTCCCATTACCGATTCCGCCACCACTCCCACTCAGCATACGCGTCGAATAGTGGTACGGCAAGCACAAGCACATCTTCTGCAATTAGCTCTACCACCACTAGTCGCAAGGGATTCTTCAACCTTCCCTGGTAGCTGAGTGGTGTGAACATACTTTGCAAAGAGAAGATGCTGACTGAGTTTTGAGCTATTCCGAAGTTAGACACCACTTGTCCATAGTTTGAACCATTTCCTATGTAATGAATGAATTTTATGCATTCACCTACAGTATGTTCCGCTTCCGATGGTGTACGAATACAAATGTTCTCGAATCGGTCAACCGTCATGTTCGAGCGAACAAAGGCCCAGTCACACAGAACAGATCTCTAGTTCATCGTTCAACGGGGATCCTTGTGGAGTAAAGAGCGCCTGACAAGCAGGGTTTTCACCGTTGTCCCTAAGTGGCAATACTGATCGGTCTTTTAGCCGCCTCACCCTATAGAGATATATACCCATACTCCACCTTTAAGACTGGCTCGTAATGCTTGCTTGAATGTGGCGTGTAATCCATTGTGGCGAGCGGTAGACAGGTGACAGAGTCGCCTCGCCTTGCTGAATTTGCCCTTTGTTGTTCGAGCCTGGGCCTGTCTCCAGCCGCAAACGTCTACTGTCCAGACTTTGTGCTTGAGTTCAACAAGCAAAGGCGGGTACTCCACCAGGAGAGATGGATGCCATACTCGCGAAGCGGCGTGCTTCACTTTGTGTCGATCATTACCGCAATCAGTTGCATAAATAGATTCCTCGTCCCCAGTATCTGGGTCTTTTATCCTCACAAGAGTTGACTCTCATTGTGAATCTTCTTCGACGGACGAGACCATTGTACATATCTCTTCCCTTCGACCGTCATCGTTACATTTCACATACCACAACCTTCTTCCTTCGTTTTTTTCTCGTCAAAACAAACAACATGCACCTCTCCAGCATCTTCCTCGGCCTCGCCGGCCTGCTGGCATCGGCCAGCGCCATCCCCAACAACAACACTGTTTACAAGCACTTTGACTGCGGCGTTGACCTCAGTCATGCCAGCGATCACTTCAACAAGACTGTGCGCCAGATGCACCAGGGTGTCTTCAAGGCACACAGTGGCACACAGATTGCTGGTCACGCCGTCCGCGCCGCCGCTGCTGGCCCCGTCACTGTCAACGTCGCTTTCCACATTGTCACCACCGCCGCAAAGGCAGGCACCATCACCCAGAAGATGGCTGATGCCCAACTCGCTACAATGAACAGAGCCTACAAGGCCAGCGGCGTTCAGTTCAACCGCATCGCCACCACCTTCACTGTCAACGATGCCTGGGCTGTCGGCGCAGGTAATGATGCTACTGCCATGAAGACTGCTCTGCGCAACGGCACCTACTCCACTCACAATATCTACTTCATGACAGACCTCACTGGCAGTATCCTCGGCACGTGTAGTCTGCCTTCAGACATTGGCCCCGGCACCCCTGACCCCAGCACTTACGTTACCGACGGCTGCATGATCCAGGCCAACACCATGCCCGGCGGCAACATCTACGGCTTCAACTTGGGCATGACCGCCGTCCACGAGACCGGTCATTGGATGGGTTTGCTGCACACCTTTGAAGGCTACAGTTGCACTGGCAACGGCGACTTCATCGCCGACACTCCTATGCAGAGCACCAGCACTGATGGATGCCCTTCAAAGCCCCCTAAGGACAGCTGCCCCACTGTCGCTGGCATCGATGCCATTCACAACTACATGGACTACTCGGACGATTCTTGCTACACCGGCTTCACCGCTGACCAGAATAAGAGAATGTCCAACATGTGGTCCACCTACAGACTGGGTCGCTAAAGCTGTTGAATCTTCCAAAGACGGAACGAGTCAGGGTGAAGACGTTCGAAGGGTCGCAGGATGCATGGAAAGGCCACGGCACCTTGGTTTCTTTCACGTACATAACTTCTTTCTTTCTGCTTGATAGTCGCAAATGAATGCATCACCGACGGGGATTTGTTTTTCTCAATTTGTATCGTTCTTTATGTGCAATTTACCGAGTGCGGTTGTCGTTGTAGTCAAGAGTGCATGTCAAGTGTCAAGGAACGTGGCATCGCGTGAGGTGAGGAATGCTGTTCACCGGCCGCTTTTCCGAACCGGTTTGCAATTTCTGCAAAAGTTATGCTGTGCCAGAATTATGCTGCGCTCATGAGTTATGCTGCCCAAATTATGCTCTGTCAAGTGCTTATGCGAATGTTGACAACACGAATGCCATCAAATGGCAACCAATACGAAGCTGTCGCGAGCGAGGCCACGAATCCTTCCGATAGTCGATCCTCCTCATGCCCGCGTCGCAGTCCCCTTGTCCTCTCACAAAATGGCGATCTATTATTTGATCAAGTCGGATGCGAAGATTTGAAGCCGCAAATGCGATCAGAAGCGTCCGGTAGCTGCGCCGTGAGGGCATCAGCGTGGCTAGATGAACATCAAACTGCCAGCCATATTTCGCAGCTCATGGACAGCTTTCATGTTCCCGGTCTCGCAATAGCGGTAATTGATGGAGCAGAGATACAATCCAAAGCGTTCGGCTATGCTTGTATCAAGACCCAAAAGCCTTGCATTACCGACACGCTGTTTGATATCGCTTCATGCTCGAAAGCCTTCACTGCGATAGCAGTCGCTCTTCTTGTGGAAAGCAACGACTTTCCGAACTTGAAATGGGACTCGGTCATGTCCGAACTATTGACCAATGACTTCGTGCTATCAAGCCCAGAGGCTACCAAAGAAGTCACTGTCGAAGACATTTTGAGTCACAGATCAGGCTTACCAGGGCATGTGCTGTCTCCTACGATCGACCTTCGCCAGCTGATTGTGATAGCCACGACTTGAGCGTTCTTGGCGTCCACTCAAATCATTGTGACAATGCTCGTTCAGTCACCAGAAATTTGCGCAATCTTCCTTTGAGCCAGGCACCGAAGTCGACCTATCAGTACAGCAACATCATGTATACAGCCGCGACTTATTTTGTTGAAACTCTATCGCAGAAGAGCTTCTCAATCTTCCTTCATGACCAGATTTTCCAGAGGTTGGAGATGAGCTCGACGTCCCTCCAGCCCAGTGAGGTGTGTGCGAGTGAAAAAGAAGACTCACTTTCCACGCCATACTACTTTCGAGATGGTGCTTATCACGCAACTTACCATCAAGAGACACCCGAAGCTCAGGGAGCAGGATCGATCCAAACGAGCGTCAACGATCTTGCCAAATTCATCCGAGCCATGATAAATAGAGCAGAGCTTATCACGGATGCGATCTACAACGCTGTTACGACGCCCCGTATCACGAAGAATCAACGTGGCGACCACAAGAACAACTCGGATCACCCTCCACCTTCTTATGCTTTGGGATGGGATGTCCATTACTATCGCGGAATACAGATTGTCTCTCACGACGGTGTCATTACCGGCTATGGAAGCCGTATGTTCTTCTTACCTCACTACAAATTCGGCGCTGTGATTCTTGGTAACAGTGAGGCCGCGTTTGACCTCTCGTTCGTCATCCAGAATTTTCTCGTTGACGAGGTCCTGAACATTCCCAAGGAAGAGCGAACTGATGTTGCGAGCCGGCGCTTGAAACGATTCACGGCACAGGAAGCGCGTCGCGAGAAGAACCTCAAACGAAATGCTGCCCGCAGAGACCAATCAAGAGGAAGTATTGGAACTCCGATGGAAGTCTACCTTGGAAATTATCACAATCCTGGTTATCGAATTGTGACGGTGCGAGAAAAGGATGGCTTGCTGTTCATTGATGGACGCGATCGCTCAATGCCATTCACGATGCTTCTTGAACATGTGAGTGACAACACTGTCTTTCGGGGATACCTAGCCGATGATACTGGCGAAGACGTTGTCCATATTCAGTTTCGCTTCGATCCCGACGGGCAAGTGTCTGCGATCGGCATGGTTCTTGAGCCAGCACTAGGAGACGACCATTTCATCTGGTTCGACCGTATACAGCAGGTATAACTGAATTCAGCACTCGCAGAATATACTGATGAGATAAGTTGAGAAATCGACCAGCTACTTCGCCAAAATCGATCAATTTGGAGGACAGATTAATGCAGTGCCGTACAGGAAAGACTATCGTCTATGCAACCCCTAATAGACATCCTCCTCCAGCTTCTTGCACTTCGTAAGATCAGGCATCTTCATGTTCCTGACAGAAACTTTGCCAGTCAAGATATCCTGCTTGCGCTTCTCTTCCTCAGCCTTCCATTTCAAATCCCGGGTCTCTTCTTCGATCTCCAAGATGCTGTCAGGGATCTGGTACTGCAAGTACTCTTCAGGGACGTCGATCTTCCATTTTGGCTCGTCCTTGTCCTTGCCCACTCCGTAAGTCTTTGCATCAGATGCGTCCGCGGTCTCCTTGAGGCTGCAGTAACTCTCGCGGTACATTTGTGAGCGGATTTCACCCTTACGTCTGTCGATTGCGAAAAGACCGTCAATCACATCCTGTGGTACTCGTTTGGGGTCAATGTCGAAAATGCGGCGACCTGACAAGTAAATTCGTTCCGGGTAGTGAGATTCGATCTCATCCTCATCCTCATTCATCCAATCTCCACAGTCCAGGTCGTGGTCCCAGATCCACTCCCAGACTTCGTTTTCTCTGGCTTGCAATTCGGTTTGACGGAGCAGAAGGTAGGACTCGTCGCCGATCAAGGCCTTGACGGCATGGTGGTGCAGACGAAATTTTGCTTCGCTCATATCGTCGATGGCGAATTTCTTAAAGCTTGTCATGTTGATGTGGTCGAGTACTGGGACTGAAGCATCCTGAATGAGCAATTTTTGGGATTTTGCGACCGCAGCAGCGGAGGCCAAAGAGACCAAAAGCGAGAAGGTTGCCACGGAAGTCAACATTGTTTTGTTGTTGGAGTCACTGACTGACAATCAGAATAGGACTTCGAAGTACAATTTCGACGATGGAAAAATTGAATCGATTCTGGTTCTAGTTATACACGGCAAGATAGGAAGAAATCGCCCCTGGGGTGCCTACTTCTTATCAGACGTCGTCGCGTCAAGGTTCGCACCCCGAATCCTTCATGACATGGCTATACGAGCTCCGCGGGGCATATAGCTAATCATAAAATCACTCAGGCACACAACCCCGCAAAGAAACGTTGATGGTCGAACTCACCTTCGAAAATCTGGGGCCAGATCTCTATCTAAAATAGGACACCGTGCTGTTGAGAGACTCACCGAGAACAAGGTTGCTGTTCTGGGATGACGCCTTAAGACTGACTTGTCGCGACTGCGGTCTCTGGAGTGTGGCTACGTTTCGCTAGTTTCTGTCTGTCCAAATAAGACAATTCAAGGTTCTTGAGAATTAATGTTCAAATTTGAAAGCTACGCTGGCAGCAGGCTATGACTTCAGCTGCCCGTCGTATAATACTTCCGCGGCGTTCTCAGTGACTGCTCTGATCCCTCATGGAGTCTTCGCTAGGGATAGGCAACAGGAAAGATCAACAGATTCGATAGGCTCCTCGGCCAAAGTATGTGTAAGAAAAGGTAGTATCAGTCAAGCCCAAGGTCTCTTCAACAGTGTTGAGCAACAGACTTGGGTATCCGTATTCGTATATGAGTGGCAGGTCGGTCCAAGGGCCGAAAGTTTCCACTCACATCATCTGCAGCATTCACAAGATGACCGGCTCCGTTCAGTGCATGGCCCATACAATACCTACATCTGCAAAGAGACGCTCAGATCGGGATCTCCTGCTCAAGCTCAGAACCCGATCGTCAAAACATTTGGTCGAGGAACACCTCCGCCAAAAACAGCTACACACAGAAAACCAAAGACAACAAGAACGAATGCACATCAAGTATCAAAAGATAGTGTAGTTAAAATTTCCTAGAGTTCCAATTCCCCAAGCAAAATCTCAACAACTTCTGCATTGGCCTTATGCCGACCGCAATAATGTTCAAATCCAAATGCAGTTTCGATCCAACAAAAAACATGCTGACACCAGTCTTCATCTTTGGTTTCGGTCAATCCACCAGGGATGTGTAGTGGTGTTTCGTCGGAGGGCAATGCTCCGGACATTTTGCATCCTGAAAGTGGTCTTGGTTTGGAGGGGAAGCTGAAGGAGAAGATTTGGGTGAGGAGGGAAGGGGTTGTGGTTGTTTGTGTGGTCATTGTGTCTTGATGTGGTAATATTGAGATGGATGGGCCTGCCTAAGGAAAGAAATGGTGTTCCGCTCTGTGGGCATGTGTAGCGGAGGATGTCTAGGTATGTTGGCAGGAGAAAGATTCTAGGCATCGCAGTATATATTCGAGATTGGTTTTGACGCTTGTAAAAAAGATAAAGGCAAGAAAGAATAGTGTGGTTTGATCAAAGATCAACGTGCAGGTGGAAGGTACGAATGAGAGCACCTCGGGACGGCTCTAGAAGACAACAGTAGCTATGTGAGGTATATTGATCAAGAATCTCATGGAATGATAGATACAGGGGAAGAGAAGATTTCAGAGAAAAAAAAGTATATTAAGATTATTACAGGAAATAGTGAACCTACCTCAACGCCGTCGTGATCAAAAAGCTTACCGTATAAATCAACCATCCAGAGCCAGCCTGGATGCTTCACTTGCCAAAGAGTCAGTCAGTCCAGGAGTCCAGCCAGTGTAGGGCTCAATCATAGCGATGTTGAGTGTAGCTCGAATACCTTCAGCCCTGCACTTTTTGAACCAAGCCTTGTAGAAGTTGATCTGTCTGTCAGCATCATCGAACATGGTACCAGCCAACCTTGGGAGAGTGATTCTAGTGTAGGGATTGGTGTCAAGAGCGCGACTCATGTAGTGCTCAAGAAGAGGAGAATAGAAACCAGCACGAGGGAGGGGCTTACCAGAGTCAAAAGTCAAGTTTTGAGCTTCAGTGAGAGTCAAAGAGCCAAAGGCAAAGTCATGATCATCAGGATTGACCAGGCGGAGAATGTTAATCGGAGCATTGCGGTAGTGATCACTGACCTTGTCATCGGCAATATCCTTCGGACAATCAGCTTTTGTTGCGCTACCGGTGGCGAGAAAGTGAATGATAGCACCAATGGCAAAGACATCAGCTTTCGCACCAGCGATGGGAGCCTCTGGAGGTTGATATTTTGGGGTTCCGTCAAAAGTCTCGTGGTCCAAAGTAGTCTCAGCAGCAATGCCAAAATCAATGATCTTGAGATTGGGAAAAAGAGCCGGATCTCCAAAGTTAACAGGATCAACCATGATGTTCTGAGGCTTGATGTCGCGGTGAGAGATGCCATTCTCGTGAAGAAAGCTAAAGCCAGCAACCATTTGTTTGGAAGCGTGGAAGATGAAAGCTTCAGGAACCTTGCACGTCATTTTCACAAACTGTTTTTTGAAGTTACTAAGGTCGCCACCAACGATATAAGGAAGGATGATTCTGCTAGTAGGGCACTCACCAGGAGCAGCAGGGGTATTCCAGACTTGAAGATACTGAACTATGTTTGGGTGGGGACCAATTTTCTGTACACGGTCGAGCATAATGAGTTCAGGGACGGTTCTTAGGTCAGTATTGGGAGCGAGCTTCAGACGCTTGATGACGACTATTTTACCAGTAGCCCTAACGCAGGCCAAACTGACTGATCCCTGCCCTCCCTCAGTCAGATCCCTCTCGTGCTGGTAGAAGCTCTTGAAGGTCTGATCATAACATTGACTGATGATACCGAGGTGCTGAGGCTCAGAAATGTCGGACATCTTCGTACAGTTGCTGATTGTCGTTTTTTGGGGTATGGTTTGGAAGACCGCTGTTGCTCCGGGCTGTTTTTGTAAGTGATGTTTCTTGGTAGGGTTCTGACCAGAGAAGGGGCACCAAAAGGTTGGGTCGTATGTTGGATTTAGTCTTTTTGCGGTTCAACCAAGTCATTGTTCGTAGAATAAGGAATCAAAGCTCATCTATCTCGGCCATCAGCAAGCCTTTGTATCAGGTAGGTGGCGACAAAGACTTGGTATGCCAAACAAGAGCCTCTCTGCAGCTTCTCAAAGCAGTGCCGCGTTGTACAACAAAGACCAGAGCACGCAACTCTTTTGGAGATGAATGGGATTGTCTTGCTTTTGTTTGGGAATAGGGATGATCTTTCGGTCCTTGACGGCTCTCTTTGTACTCTTTGTAGTATCGTGTATCGACGCAGATCAACTTACTTTAAAAACCCTGATCAAGCAGCGACGGACGTATCCTTTGGCCTTCTAAAATTTTTCCATAACCGAAAAAACTCCAACAATGTCTCCATCACCCAAATTTCACCCAACAAAAGCTTTAGCTCAGGCTCTTGATGAAGCCACAGCTAGAAAGCCAACAAATCCTCCAAGAAACCTTGAAACACTGACTCTAGGCTGTAAAGTCAGCTTCGTGTTGCTATTTCCTCGCTACGATCTCGTCAACGCTGACATTGAAAGCACAGCTAAGGATATCGTTCGTGACGCTCTCGTAAATACGACCTTCCAGGACACCGAATGTGCTTATTGCAGCGGACCACATGAGTATAAGCTTCCTGTATCAACACAAGATCGAGGCGACAAGTCACGAAACAGGTACTGGCAGATAGATATTGACCCTGATGCTCACCTCCATGACGATGAATTTGAGGCTCTGACAGAAAGATACTATGTTGTCGGTCTCCAGGCCGTCAGTCGTATCTTCAAGTTTCACAACAAAACCAACTGTCCTGGAGACAAGTTCGCAAGCCCCATCGACGGAAATTGGATCTATCACAACCACCACGAAAGACGTGCTCAGCACCACTGGTCTGTCGAATTGAAAGCTGTGAACGATGCACTAAAGACGCTAGCCAAGAAGCCGAACTACAGAGTCCTAACCAATGAGTTTACAAACTTCAAAGTTTACGTCGGAAACAATCATCACGGTGTTCACATGGATGTTGCCAGAAGCCTGATGGCCATCTTCACTGCCTTCGAAAGACAACTCGATGCTATCAACATGACACCAAGAATTGGCGGTGGTGTGAGAGGCGAGCCAGCCCCGATGGCTAGCAAGCCCAAGCTCTATGGATACGTCTCGGATGACAAGAACACCATACAAGAGGAGGCCGGAGAGGCGTGCAAGCCTATGTCAAGCATCAACATGGCTTATCTGAAGCTCCAGAAAATCACCACCGGCTACGACGTCAGGACTTTCTTGCGACTCTATCTTAAGGGAGAGCTCAATAGGATCCAGCTGCAGAAGATCATTGACAACGAGCTTATCTCACACCAAAACACTGCCCTGGATGTCTCTCGCGTTTGGGACGAGAATCTCATCGCATACAATCCCGAGTACGTCAGTCACTGTATGAAAAAGCCCACAATAGTGTTTCGTTCCCACGCTAGTACTCTCGACCCCAACGAACAGGTGGCTTGGATAGACTTATGCTGCATCCTTACCGAGCTTTGTTATGAGAAAGATCTTCATCACATCCATAACTGGACGAGGAAGCGTTGGGATCAACCTCACAACCAGTACACCATTCTCTCAATTTTGCATCATGTCGGTGGCTACCACAAAGATACCTTCGCTCACTACAAAAATGTCTCCGTGCCCGTCAAAGACCTCAAGTCCACGATTGAGCAACCGCATATATCAAATATCGCGGCTGAGCTGCAAGCCGAATGTGCTCATTTCGATCCTTTGAAAGAGAGCAGGGTGCCTGCAACCTTGATCCTCAACAACGCCGACTACAGAAGGGCAGCGAACGTGAGAGACAAGGTCAGGCACAAGTTTGATCTCGGCCTCTACGGTAAGTTTCCCATGAATACTGTGATCGAGTACGTTCGAGACCATCATGAGAAGAAGGCGTTCTTCACAAGTGATTGGAGAGATCTCATCCTTCATACGACGTAGGATCTGGAAAAAATAGGTACATAGGTAAGTCTTATTGCTTTTGCGTTGTGAATTTGCTGGTTCAGATTCAAAGTGTCAGTTTTTATTTGCTAGAGTATATCATGTATCGAGTAATAGATGTTGAAATCTCTCACGTGCTCCCTTATGATTCGGGCTCAATTCGTTTGGATCCCTCCAGATGATTTGGCACCCTCTGACCAGCAAGCGAGGGATGACGATACAAGCAGTTTTTACAGCCGAATCAGCTCCATGATCTTTGTGAACCTCAACTCTTGACTGTGAAGCCAAGAACAGACAAAGACTCAATGACATTCTCAATAAGGTCTGAGTCCTGCTCTCTTGTCTCCGCGTCTATTTCCATCAATACCGCAATGGCATCTTTCAGGTCTCTCAATCCATCTTCCGGCAATGTTTCCTGCGTATCAACACCTAGCACCTCTTCTTTCCACACTATTTGATGCATGCCTTCGACAGAAGGCACGTAGGTCTTCTCACCCTGTTCTCTGCGCAATCCATGCCTCTCCCAGCTCCGCAATAGGTTGCCCACGAATGTGGCCAGTCTGCAGAACTTGCGATAGCAGGACATGTACGCGGCTAACAGATTGCGGGAGAACGAAGTCTGTGTACCTTCCATGCTGTTGCCGTGGTCTTGGAATATGCGCTCTCGCATTTCCATGCAGTAGCCTCTGATTGAGGAGTTCAGCCAGTGATGCAAATGCTTGTCGGGTACACCAGTGTCTTGCGCTCTTGTTGCAATATCGTATTCGTGAACGCGGGTATAGACCTTTAGATAGGCTCTTGGAGAGAGGGGTGGGGGTGATTCATCTGGGCTTCTTGCTTCCGAGATTGAATAGAGAGAAGAGATCTCGGCCTCTATGTGTTTGAGAAGATCTAGAAACTCTTCGGGCGGTGCTTGTGGATGAAGAGGAGAAGGAATTGCTATGTCGATCCTGGTGTCCAAGGTGCGTGAGGCCTGCATTTCCCGGATGGACTTGTTGGGATTGATATCTAGATACGGATGGTGGTGATCTCTTAGTCGTTGATGTGTTGCCTCACTGAGATATGCTTTGACTATCTATGGAGAAAAGAAAGACATAATCCCTGCTCGTTCAGGAGCGATATGACTGCCAGGGTCTATGTTCTTGGCATTTTCGTTATTCTACAGTCATTTCATCACAGATGAAGTACCGTGTGGGCGCTGTGGCCGGTTTTGGCATAGCGATGTCCAGGTTGGTAGGCAGCAACATATCGTACTGAGGCAGTGAAAATTTATCGTACGTCGAACTCAACGGCGGTCGAAAATTGACCAATCAAATCAATGCTGGGAGAACGGTAGGCGTCGTGTGTTTATGGCTTCGTTGACATCTCCACTACGCTATGGGTGCTAAACCTTAATCCGTCTTGTGGCGAAGCTTAAAAGTGCCCCGCTTGTATCATCTCGTGTTAATCTGATCTGTGCGGCCGACGCGGCAGCAGCATGATGGACGTTACAGAGCCTTCATCCCTTGGCGTCTGTTTTGATCGCGCCCGAAGGCGAGTCACAGGAAGTCTACATGAACTGACGTAACTTCATTTGAGTTACAATTGCTTGTCGACCTTTATAACAAGAGGTAAGCCATGCTCAGAAGCTGACCCTATCTCAACTCTCCATTGTATTGACAGAGATTTGAGAGACAGCGATCTACCATGGACGACAAATTACCCTATACTTTCCAAGTCGATGCCTCTTGGACGGCAGACCCAGAAGAAATCGAATTCTTCGAACAACTCGTGGTGGCTTGTGCAGAGGGCCATCTCAGTCCCTTCGCCGCCGCTCAGAAAATCACAGATGAGTTAGCAAGCGAGGCGTGGAGAAACAAAGCCTACGTCGAGCTACATCACGAAGACAGGCCGTACCGGACCCATACCGTACTGGTCGCTGTCTTGATAGGCAGTTGTGCCTCATCGTTTCCACCATCTAGTACCGTGCACCGCAGACTCTTCGAAATGATCAAGAGCTTCCTCGAGGTCGAAAAGCGGCAGATACCCTACGTGGCCAACGACTCTATGGACGAGACACAGTCTAAATTCGATGGTTCAACAAATCTCAGCTCATCCGTGCCTCTCTGGGAAAGCCTAAAACCATTGGCCTTCGCATCAAATTGGAGTTGGTTGGCAGAACTTGGTGACCCATGGACAGGAGCGGAAAAGTGTGGCAGTCATGAGCAACAGAGATGGAGAAATCTATCATACTTTTCTGCCAAAATAGCAACCCAGGGTATTGAACGTTTGGGCCGGCAGAGTCCTTTGCAGAACCTGCTGCCAAGATATCGCGCACTTGATGAAAGCACGATAGGCTGTTCTGGACACCTGGCTGGCCAAAGCCTTGCTGCGGCTCAATGGTTTGTACCCAAATATCATGCTTCATGGGTCTGGCGAGCTTGCTGTGTTTGCGAGAGCTATTCGCAGCCGGAGACATCTCCGGATGGTCTCGAGGAAGGACAGACTGCTCGGAGGAGTCGAATGCACACAGAGGACGACGATCAAGCGGTTTTGGTGCGACTGGAAGGATGGTTATGGAACCTAGAGAACTGGGAGGTGTGGAAAGCAGCTTTCATTCAGGTTATGGAGAGGGTTGAGGATCAAAGAATCCACGAAGTTGTTCGCAGGGAAGTATCCAAAGCGCTGAAGAACATGGAAGAAGTAGAGACTATCGGCGAATGTGACTCGCACTTGGTCAAGTACGCTTGAGGGCATATTGGCTTAACGCCAGCCGCTTTCAGGAAGTCGATCTCCAACAATAAAGTAGGTGTTCAGAGCTACTTTCAGAAAACCCGGCTAGTATCATTCAGAGGTGATTTGTCACTAGTCCCGATGCTTGAACTTTCCAAGGTTTGTGTTGTTTGTGGCCCTCGTAAGTTCAAAATAGTAGACAAACCATACATATATCGCAATGTTTAAGTTGTATCTGCTGATTGTCTTTCTTCTACTCGGTCTCATGGAGATTGTTCTTCCCTGATTGCTTCAATCAATCGTAGCAATGAGTTTGCCAGCCGAGCTCGTGTCTTTTGCTCGAGTAACACAAGCTGTAACCTTTCCGGGCTGCAGCTCATTGTAGATCCCACTCCCATTCTTAGTCACGTACACCGAATTGACCTGATTTGTCTTGTAAAAGTCGAAGTCGGAGCGGTGCTGAGAGGGCGACATGATGACTTCTAGAAATCTAGCGGCTTCGGGGACGTCGCGCGCTTGAATGCTGGCGCAACGTTCTCGGTCCATTGTTGGATTTAGAACTAGGGTCGCGTCTTCCTCATATTTGACAATGGCTTCTAGATAGGCAATAAGATACTTCGTATCAAAGACACCACCTAGGTTGACCTTGCTTAATGAAGCGATACAACGCCGGCGAATAGAAGAAGTGCGGCACTTCTCAACAATAGCAACCAAGCACGTCACAAGACCGGAACCGATGGAGAAGGCGGGAGGTGTGCGAATATAATCCGTACTGCCCTCATAAGTGACAAAGTCACTACGAATTGGCGTCATCATAGTATGAAGCCGGATGTAATGCTCGCACAGAGTAGTGAAATACTCGAATTGGGGCTCAAATCGGTCGATACAACACGCGCCCGCGTCGCGCCATGTCTCGTTCCAGATCGATACGCAGAAGTAGAAGATCTGAACAGACATGTGCGCCACGAGATCTGAGCTTGTTCGGTTGATTCCTCTAAAAGCCACAGACCAAGCATGAAGCGAGCCTCTGGTCTCTTCTATGGATTTCATTAGGTCGTAGTTAAGATCCGTTGTCCGTAGAGAGGCCTGGACAAGACATGTTTGCTGATCGAAATCGACACAACCCAAGTTCATTCTTTTGCTTAGAGCGTCGTAGGTGTGCAAATATAACTTGTCGTAGACCTCGAATATGTTCGAGGTAATGACCTCTAGTAAGAGGCTTGCTTCGTCAACGCTAGAGAATCTTGGAGGCATAGGACTTCTACAGATTGGAGTCAGGAAGCTAGATAGGTCAGAAGTGCGTCCTTTACGTATACACGAGAAACCTTTGGCTTACGGGTCGTCACGGCCTATTAATGTGATATCAGAGTCCAGCCGGATGAATGCCTGGATGAGGATCTTGCATACGCTCTGGGGAAGGCAATCCACAAAAATGATTCTACGAACAGGATCCGGGTCTTGTGGTTCGTAAGACAGTCTTTCGTGGATAATCCGCAGTCCGGTATGTAGATGCATTGAAGCTTTGGCATCATTTCCAGAAAAGACTTCAATGGTGAAATATAACAGGCATACGATGAGAACAATGACTATATCTTCGTCTCGTGCTTTGGTCGAGATGTTGCCGATGTGCTTCGAGAGCAAAGCTAGAGATTTGTTGTATTGCTGCAAAGCATATGCGTATTGCTCACAGTCTTCATCATCGGTGATCGCGCGATGTATGGCAGCGCATGCGCATGCTGCCGCAGCGACTGCTGGTTGTTGAGTCGTCAGGTGTAGAGTTATCGACTCCCAAGGTGTCTCGAAAGCAGAAGCACATGGTAGTTGCTGTACGGTGATGCGGCGGAAAAAGTCAAGAGCGATGGTTTCGTGTTCATCTAAGTCGATGGATAATAGTTTCGGTCGGGGGAAAATGCTGCGTAATGCTTTGACGCACCCTTGTGGATCTTTGTAACCATTGCAAGTCCGATTGCTTCTCATGCAGCGTTGACAGGTCGGTAACGTCTCATCTAACGTCTCATCGCATTTTACACGACGAGCGCTGTAAAAATGTCAGAACGAAGTAAATGGCAGTGACTTCTAGCGAAGCCCTTTTGACTTACCGGCAAGTCATGCAACCTGTGCGGCTTCTATTATGCGGTGCACGAGCTCTCATACGGACTGGTACAGGCATGCTTGCGTGTTCTCACTTCTTGACGGCAAGAGCTGAGACAAAGGCTAGCTGTCAAGTGCAGCATACATTCATTCGACTTCGATGAGTTAAGGAAGAGTAGAAGATGTAAAAGCTAGAAAGATGAAATACGAACTTCCAAGTAGCCTCGTACTAGAGAAACGGCCGTCCGGCCACCGCCCCAATGATCCAGTGTGGCTGAGTAAATGACAACTCAGCATGGCTCGAACTGATGTAGCAGACTTGGCAGTCATATTACAGTGGAGTCATAGACAAGGGATGGCACAACAATCGGATCCGCCTTGAGACAAGTGCGGTAATGGACATCGTTCGATCCATGGCGTTCACGCTGTTCTTATGATTCCGCGAGTGCTGTCGAGTCCCATCTATGTATTGAAGCCTTCCCCGTGATACCGCATACTATACTGATTGTGAAGCGAAATACACTTGTTGTACCAAACCACTGCATGGCAAAAGGAGAATTCGCCGGATCTGATCTATAAGTTGCCTGCGGCAATCAAATCTCTCAAAGCTGTCAACCTGGCCATTCTTGGATCGGCGGTGTTTTTGGAAGCGGCATTTAATGCAGCTCTGACAAAATCGACTCCAACGTCGGTTCTAATACCGTCTGGATTCTTCACATTGACAAGTTCATCTGTAGACTTGGTCAGTTTCAATTGAAATGCAATGCACGTTCTGAGACATGTCGTACACCAGCTTTGGTCAGCCTCTGGATGAGGGCCGACGTTTGCAACCCATCCTTTGCCGAACGGATTCAGAGTCGAGGCTACATCACGATTATGAGAGTAGCGTGCAAGCACTGTGGTTGATGAGCCATTGGGCAAGATGAATGCTGCGCCATCCTGGAAATATAGCCATCGTTTGCGTTCGGTCGTGCCTCGATTCTTTCCTGTCGTGAAAGACCAGTCCACCTGAATGACAGTGTCCTTCATACTGCGCACCTGACTGTGCGGCCTTTTGATCTCTCGCGTAACTCTGACTCCTTCAGAGAGAAGATCGAACCCTTTCGTCGGACCTGCAAGGTAAGCTCCCAGGCAGAACCCTAGATACCAGCCACCATTGGCAACGAAGTCGCGCACATCAGAGGCATACTGCTTTGCCTCTTCCCACGCTTCATCCAGATCTGGCCAGTCTTAATAGGAGATATGACAACAAGAGCGGAGAGGTACTGACCCGGACCGCCCGGCTGAACAAACATGTCCATACCGCGAAGTGTGTCCGCATTGATCTTGACCTCCTCGTCCGGTCCAGCGAAAGTGATGTTGATATCAGGGTAAGCAGATTCCAGCAAGGCTTGGACAGACTCTGAGCATCCCTCACACCCATTTGTGCCACGGTAGATCATTGCGTTGATGTGATCGTCTTTGATCTGCGAGGAATCTTGGGAAAGCCATGGGATCGCAATTGCATGCTGGATAAGATAGATGACAAAGAGTGCCAGCGCAAGCAACATGTTGTTGATACCGAATCGAAATAGTAGGGTGTAGTAAAAAGATCGGAATGGGCTGCAATAACAACGAGGAAAACGAATGTGACCATCAGTCTGATACGGCCTCGTACAATATATCATTCGAACGGCGGCATCGTTCGCAAGCAAAATTGCTCGATTACTATACTAAGGACACTCTAACACAGTCTGACCGAAGTGATATGATTGGTCGTTTGTACGAGAAGCTAAAATCGAGCCCCTATGTATATTATGACGATCGAGGTGCTCGTAACGACAGCCAATCATCATTACATTGGAACAGCATCTGGTTGACAGTAAGCGGGCCGCGTTGACTGCCGCGAGCTCGGCACCGGATCTGTAGCGGCGCGACCCGGATCGATGAGGCGCTACTCGAAAATCCTAATCCTGTTTAGAGTTCCTTGCGTCAACACAAAAGCTTAGAGGCTTTCTCGAAAATCATCCAATCGACATTTCCTGTACTCGTGCCTCATTACCTATTGTAGATGTAGCGCTCGTCCGTGAACAGGTGTCGCTAAGAGGTCAACTCTTGTACTGCAGGAAGTTTCTGCGTACAGCCTCTTTGCATCTTCCGCTGTCATTGGCAACGTTTTCGAGCACGAGAGGAGCGAATTTGCGAAGTCACCTAATTTTGACCGACCGGAGAGCCGCGCTCACCTTGCAGTCTTGCGGTCAGGATTTTTTCGCAGTCAAAATCAGGTTCAGGGAAAGGTCAAAGCAAATCACGCACACTAGGATCAACAACCCTTGGTCAGAACATAGGACTCCACTGACAAACCCTTCACGCGCATGCTCATTTAAAGTTCAGTATGCGGACGCCATGTGTAGGGACAAAACAACGTTTAGTTCTGTCCCTAGGTCGGTCTCTCCCGTACATGTAAGAAGTCCGCGCAAAACCAGACATCGGAATCCTTTGAAACACTCATTTGAGACACCCATCGAAGAGAACAAGCTGACAGTTGTTGCCCTTCGGTATCTGACATTGTTAGGATTCTCCCTCGTCACCACTGAGCTTGACAGAAGCAATCAGGTTTTCTTCTGGCGTCTCGGCAAAATCAGACAGAACCTGATGATGATCGGATGTGGACCTTGTTCATGGCAACGTGGCTGCCTAGAATCCCCGGCCCAGGAAAATCCTTGTCAAGGCTCCATATGGGGACCGTTTCAACCGTTCAACAGCCAAGATGTGACCTCTGAAACCTGACGCCCCACATGCAACTTTTGCATTGTTATCGAGCTGGCCAATCGATCACTAGCGCATCCCCTCAAATAAACAGCTTTCCTTGCGAAGGATGAAATTTTGTCTCTTTTCGTGCTATTGTCAGCTCCGGTGGTAATTCCCGATGGAAGCAAACGTGAAGCGAAAACGAATCGTAAGCTCAAAGTACAGCAGACACGCTTGTCGGACGTGCCGGTATGTTCTGATAATTACAACAACGATTTTGAGAGATCGTTTTCTCACACTGAGCAGTATCAGAAGAATCAAGTGCGATGGTAAAAAGGGTTCTTGCAACAACTGTACATCCACTGGACGCATTTGCGATGGATACGGCGTCGTCGTGTCGGGAGACCGCAACCTTCCTTTACGACCACTTCTACCAGCACCGACAGCCCTAACTAACCCCGACGTCTCGAACAATTCCGGAAGTAGTGTCCGCCAACCTCCGCGCGGAAAGGTACGATCAATTTGCCCTTACTGCGCCCGTGAAGATTCAACATGCGAATGCCGCGAGCTGCTGCTTAAGACTGCTAGGATGTTTCGAAACATCTGTCCACGACCTTCTGCACACTCGTTCGCCTTGAACGATGCTGAGGGGCATGCCCTGGACTTTTTCCGCCGCATCACTATACACCAGCTTCCTTGCGCGTCCGCCTTTGAAACACCATGGGAGCTCGTGGCACTAGATCTCATGCATAGCCAACCATCAATTGCAGCTGCAGCTTGCGCCTGCGCCGCCTTACATCGCGCTCTCACCGATGATCCGGACCATGACCAGTATCAGTTTGCGCTACAGCAATACAACAGATCCTCGGCGTTAATGAGAAAATTCATTAGCGATCTGGACCATGATACCCCGGAAAGCGCTGCTCTTGTTGTCCTTGCAGTCTGCCTGCTTTTCTTCGCGTACAAGACATTCTCTGGCGATGACGCTAAGGCTGCTATACACCTATCCACTGGTCTACGCATCATTCATGAGAGATTGCGCCCCCGGGAAGAGACTCGGCCTCTGGACGACAGGAACGTGGTTATAGTCGACCGTGACTTGAAGAGCAACTTTAGTATTCTCGTTCAGACATTTCTACGGCTAGATTCGGATTACATGTTGATAGGTCACGACGAACCGTAAGTCAGCTTTCTATTTTCATGGGCATATAACCCTTCTGACCTCCAGATAGCTATCTGTACCCGATTAGCCAGAACCTAAACTGCCCTACGTTCTCTAACCCTGATGAGGCTAGTCTATATCTGGAGACTATCACTGCAAAGATCTTTGACGTCTACGACCGTCTGGCCGAATACACCTTCGAAGACTTGGCTAATCGTACACCCAAAGTCCTGGAAAGTCTAGATGAGGATCAAGAGATCTGCCTCATGCGAGCAGCTTTACGTTTTATGAAACTGAATCAAAGTCTCCGAGAAGCTGTAGAAGAATGTAAAGAATCTCTACATACTTGGACCAAGGCTTTTAGAATGGTACCTAGAACACATGCGAACCTGCTGTCGCACATATCCACCCAAATCTTCTTCTTCTGCGTCTACATATGGGTAGAAACGTGGCACGACGTTAACGCCTGCCTTGTCGATCGCTTCGAGCCTCGATTTGCCTATTTTACCAATCTTTGCGAGCAGTATATCCAGCTTCATGCCGCAAAAACACCAAGTCATAATGCCTTTGTAGGCAGCAACGGGACAGCCACAGATCGGTTTAACACACCTCCAGCTTTTTCGCTCGGCTCTGGTGTTGTAACTTGTCTTGCTGCCATCGTCGAAAAATGTCGGACATCATCAATCCGTCGGCGCTGCATTGCACTTTTGCGCAAGATAAACTTAAAGGGTGTGTTCGACACGAACTACCTCGCGACCTACTTACAAACTATCGTCGATCACGAAGAGCAGGCCGCCCAGCTGTATAATCTAGACGTCGATCAGAACGTCGGCTTCGAAGCGTGTAATGTGCCTGAGCAAGCCAGACTCTTGGAAGTCATCATGTCACCCGCGCGCCATCGATCTCGGTTTGACTTCTACAAAACAGACCGTGTCAATGCAGTTTTTGTCACAAACGGGAATGCGCTGCAACTCGGACGCCTTACGGCCTGTGTCTCGCGAGGTGAATGCTGATGATCAGCTAGTACGATTCATATAGTCGAGGAAGAACAATTGACATACTCCGTTACTGCTGCATCTTCGAGTTTAACACTCATGCGAGCCAACGTGCCTTTCCAAGTCTGCTGAACGGACCCAGTATCAGAAGTACCAACCAAGATACTACAGCATAGAAGCCAATAGCGATCAATACAAATGTCCAGTTCTCTCCTCGTTCGTAACCTATAGATCGTGCGTCTAATCTCAATATGACGCAAGCGGCTCCTAAAATAGTGGCATGCAAAACAATAACCACCAACGCGAAGAGTCGGGACGCCAGAATGGTACTTTTTAATGGTTTCCAGTCGCTTGTCGTTTCTGCGCCGACCTCGCGCATGAATTGTTGTCGGTCAAACACCTCAACAATCGATCTTGCAGGAATTAGATGCCTGATATGGTCATCGGCTTGTGACACAGTCTTTGAATCGTTGGTCAGATCATGATAGTCAGTCGGTTTAGGAGATATGTGATTGCTGACTTCGTGCGATTGTCTAGAAGCGTGTTCTGCGTTGCCTTCGTTTGATCGTACCCATGCATGTTCCGATAGCGCTCCCAGCGGCTGCACAAGTAGCACAAGAGGTACAAGTTGACCGAACCCCCATTCGGTCTCTTGGGCTGCAGTCTGAGCCAGATTTTGCTGTCTCGGAACGACTATTTGAATGGTTCCGAACGCAAGTCCCAGAGCTGACAACCACAAAGATGCAGCGAAAGATGCCATAACCTCCATGAATGCAAGGAAAGGAATGCATGTTATCATTGAGACGCGGAAACACCACAGCCATCGTGTTCTCCTACTTCTGAGATATTTCTTGGCAGTGACTGAGAGTAAGCTTGTCATGGAGGTCTCGAGCGGTCGACGAATCCCTTGTTGATACAGCTGGCGAGGCCATAGGAAAAGATCACCGGCTTTCCAAACATAGCTAAGCACAAGGATGAGGTAGCCTATCGGCGCATCGTTGTTGACACCATCGTGGTATGTCTTGCCCCAGAAGCAGATCGCCGGGATGCCCCAAGCAGTCGGCTGTATCGCATCAGGTAGGGAAGTATCAGCGTCTGGGCTGTATATGATGCCCCAATCATAGCTGACCGTTGGCACGAGGCCAATGATAAGCATTATGAATAGTACAGCCATACCAAGTAGTCTCCAAGCTCTTAGTCCGTGATGTTGATTGAGAAAGGGCCGAAGGAGCGTCAAAGCGGAAAGGTGCACCGAACTCGAAAGCCAAGCAAGATAGAGAACGATCTGGTAGTGATAGACACTCATCTGCCCTGAGTGTAGACCAACAAATCCAGCCGCCATGATTGCAATCCCTGTCACGATCTGTTGGTCGCTCAGGACCAAGACCACGTGGCGTATAGTTTCATGTATGCCAGGATGACAAATTGTGCGTGATCTGATGCGCATGACTGTTTTGTCCACAGATGTCAACAGCTCATCCTCTACCATACCGGCGAGGTATGCGATAAGGACAGCAGCAAAAGATGTGTATGCGCTGATGAGAAAAGCCAGAATGACTCCTTGACCAGATATATCAGCATCTCCCCTGCTGACAGCTCCGGTCTGCAGATATCGCAAGCACTCCTGTGAAGTAACCATGACTCGGGATGGCGCGCTCGGCACTAAGCTGCGACTACAAGGTATCTGGTATAGTTTTTCGGCAGGTGGTTGGTGTGGTGAACGCAGAGAAAGTAGACAAGTGTCAAGGCCTCGAACTTAGTAGATAAATCCGAACCGTCTCGGACGTAACGATGAACAAAACTGACAGCACAGTGAAGATAACGTCGAAGGACTGCGCGAAGAGGCCACTGTCCGAAACATTGAGAACCCCTTCTGTGCAAGCTCGGGCGATCTCCGCGATTGCAAGAGAAAAGGCGTTCGCATTTCGAGAAACAAAAAAAAACCCCCCTGAGGGAAGATGTGGTGCGGCCAACATCGTTTGTATGCCAGATGTCTGTCTGATGTGAATCGTGACCGAAACAGAATCATTGTCCTCTGTGACTGACATGCGCTGGTCGAGCGGCTCGCCCGGCTTGGATAGCAGGCGTTATGGTCTGCACCGAAATCGTCACCCGCAATATTACTCGAAAAGACACCGCCCACTAGGGCAGCAGTCTGGACCGAGCAGGGAGGTTTCTGAGCATGTATGTAACGTTGCTAATAATTCTCACGGCTTCGCCCAACGGGCGCGGGAAGCGGCCGTGGCTTGCGTCGTGATTGGATGTTTATCGAGCGAACCAACCGCTCGACGGAAAACCAAACCTTAATAGGCTCGACACGAGAACTTGCATCATCCTGATCAGTGCGACAAGGAGTCATGACTGTTTCACGCACTCCTAAGCTCGAAGCTGGACTGTGACACTTTCTCGAAATCAGACCAATGGGCATGAAATTCACGCGATCGATGCAGAGGCTGGGATTCTGGGCGGACAGACCACCAATATGCCTTGCTCCGTATGATGGGATCACGAAGGACAAATTCATCGCTCTCAGCGTCATCGAATCTTATACGTCCATGGTAGCGTCAAAAACTGTTCGAAGCAACATTAAGATTGAGCCACTCTTCGAGCCAAATTCACGACGAGTCACAGCAGCCTACTGTGAATCAGCACGCGCCCGACCTCATGCAGGGGCTGATGACTCTCCTTGACAAGTGCGCTCAAGGCTGGAGTGCATCGTTGCTCTCTTCTCGATGAAGACTGTCACCTGGAGGGCAGGGTCAGGGTACCTCTAGCACCCATTGCAAGTGGAGTCACAATACCACAGTGGCTTTGTGCCTTACTGGCATTGCATGGATTTTTTCCTAGCTGAGAAGCGTAGACTTGGTCCATGCTTTGATCTGTCACTTGCCAAACGAAATCGTGCAAAATTGCTGCCTAGTGACTCAAGTGTAGCTTGAGCCTTTTTGATTTCTGCCATGCGCCATCCGGGGGCTGTACGGATTCAGGGATGCCGGCCATGATATCGAGATTCGTCTTGAACGAGGCTGAGGAGTTCCGGCCGTCATTACTGGCGATCGCCAACTGTGACGCTAGGGTCTGTAGATAATGAAATGGTAGCCTAGTCTTCCACGTGACACGACCATATACAATTCAACCTTTTTAACTTGGCCCTGCGGCCTCAAGATTTTCTCACTAGTTATTCACTGCTCAGTATGTTAGTATACGGGCTTGGCTACAAAAACCAGCGATTCAGGTAATCGTCATCCATCTGTGCCTACCTGTGACACATGACTGATATCAGCATACAGTCTCACCATGCTATCAGTGTCTATTGTTACTCTGGTCTTCCACGGGGCGACGGCATATCTCTGCACGTTCCTCCCATCTGATCCTCTACACATTTGCACCAGCATCACTGCCTATGTCTTGAACGCTTGTGCTCTATCCCTGCTTGGTGTGGTTGGACACTGTATTGTATGCCGCTCCTCCTCTCGTCTTTTTCCCTGTTACTTAGTTCTTCAGTGCTCACCTAGTCTCGTTACCATCTTCGCTAATCATCTCTTGATCGATGCATTCGTCTCGCTCATACCTAAACTTGGTCTGGTCCTGATCGTCAATCCGCACGCGGTCTGTCCCTGTACGAGCGCTTTCTCGCCTCTGTCTTGCTGCACGCTACAGGCGATGGATCCCGAAGCAGCAGTCGTCGAATGGAACCGGATAGAGACATGGGGTCTCGCTACAGGTGCTGCGTTTCTCAGAGACTGCCGATTGGTCGTGTCCGCTACTCGTGTCATACTCATCCCGCTCGTCATAATATTGACCGTCGCGCAATGCCGTCTGAGCATGAAGGTTCGAGCTTTCGCTGCGAAGCTAGAGTTATAGCTGGTTATTCCCACCAGAATGATATTTTCTGAACAATGGGCATGAGTTCTTTTGTAAACAGAAGTGTTAGACGCAACTTATTCCCACATGTTCAGCCTAGAAAGCTAGCATATCTTGTAATTCGTCGAAGCCATAGTATCCTCGCATTTGTCTTCCACTACATTCGTCGACACCAACCTACCCAGCCCATCCAACAGAAGCATTGGTCAGCCACATGTCTGCTTTCACCAAACATGCACAGTGTGGAAGATGGTTGATGACGAATTTGTCCTTACAGAACTTTCACCCCGAATGTCATGATGCTGCTCTTTCTCTTGCAACCACACCTAGACAATGCAGGAACGGACAATCGTCGCTGAAGTGGTCGTTTGGTGTACTATAAAGCTTTGTGCACTACAGACAGATGTGCGATCGCGAGAAACATGACACCTCCTAGTCCAACAAGTTTGACGAGACTAAAAGCCACACCTCGTTATGTCTTGCAAAGATTGTCTTGCGCAGGTGCCGGCAAACTCTTCCACATCTTTTCGCCTGGCTTTCTCTCAGCTCTGAGAACCGAAAGTTGGCTGATTCCACAAAAACCACCCGGTTGCGCTATTTGTCTCAGCCTCTGGTAGCACCCATTATAAGGATCGGTGGTTGACTTTTCGTAGACATCCATGTCGCCCGAGCTGTGCTGTGACCGATCGTGCATCGCCCAAACAAGATTCTCCACGCTCTCCCCCTCCTCCTGGAAATGCCGCGGGTTTCGGCAAGGCAAGCCAACAAGCCAAGATGCCCACAGGTGAGGCAGGCTGTACAATCGCTCGAAACGTCGCGTTAGATGCACCCACCTGAACGAGGTTTTGGTGTATGCTACTCGTATGAACGGGTTCATGACGATATTGCCACCCACGCTGGTGTCAAAGTCACCACCGTCGGTCTTTGAGATGTTGAGTCGACGGGCTCGAGCGTCGATGTCGGCGTGTATAAGGCAGCATTCTGACGACTCGCGGAAGAGTTCTTCTTCGCCACGAAATCTTAGCGGTTCTTCTGTCTCTGGCATGTGATGATCAGAAGATGCGACAGAGACTGAAGGCGACAGCGATTGCTCGCCCGCCTTGGAGCTATTGTTGGTGCTTGACTCGAACCAGCGCGCCTCAAACGCAACCATGCCTCCCCAACAGCTCCGGACAGGGACTGCGTCGCTTTCTTTCATGACTTGTTTTCTGCTTTTTCCTCCGTCTTTGCCTGAGAACCACGGGAAGAAGGGAAGTCCCATCCCGTACCCATTGGAGTCTCTGGTGGCAAAAGTGTCGTAGAATTTGAAGGGATTGATAAAGTCGACAGCACATGCGGCGTGATAAGTTGTTCGTATGGTCGAATCGTGTGTGCCGGTCGCAAAGAGCAGGTCTGCAGCATCTTGGCCGGAGAACACCACGTCGTTAAGGAACAATATCTTATCAAATTTCCGCCCAGAGGTATAGAATGGTCTCATGGCACGGTTGCGTACGTCTGCCAGGTAGGGTATACGTCTGACCTTCTCTCGAGATCGGGACAGCTCTGGCTGAACCAGGCTTTCGAGAGGCAAATGCTCTGATACCACCACTTTCTCGCCTGTGGAGATGTAAGCCACCAGTGAAGGCTCGGCCATAGAAGCAATGCACTTACAGGGTATCTTTTGCGCCAATTGCTTTAGAGCTGTGCTGGTCTCGGGCCCGCTGTCGTTATTGTAGATACTGACGAAAGCGTTCTCGGTGCCAATTGCTGCAATAAGATCGAGAACAGCTTCGCCCCAAGCGCCTCGAATGAGGTCGGCGTCAACTATGGCAGCTACAACGAAGACTTGCTCGTTGAGAGGGTTTCTTCCGGTGTACGACTTCGGCTTGTATGTGTATGAAGGGTTCAGAAGAGGAGTCGAGATGATAACAATGCATAAGAAGGCGATTGGAGCTAATAGAAGCCATCGGAGGTTGATGCGTCTGAGTCGATCGTGCGGTCGCGGCGCAAAAGAATTTCTTCCACGAAGCCAAGCGGGAAGACGGTCGGGAGGAGTACATGTGCTCGTCTCTGTCGTCTCCCTTGCGTCGATATCGAACTCTTCAAGATCCGACGACCAACGTGGTAGAGGTTCATAAGATGTCGAGCGTGGAGTCATGACCCAAGTGTTAAATTCGATTCAGGAAGTTGAGATTTGTCTGAAACCAAGTAGCTAGAGATCAGAAGCAGATATAGCAACTTCAACAGCCTCGAGTAAGTGTCAGCCTACAGAGTATCGATTCTCCTTGAAGCCTTCTGAGCATAGCCACCGCCTGCGCATTGCCCAGACCGGTCAGATGGGCACAGAACGCAGATTTCGATATGATCAACACAAACGATCTTGCGAAGAGCATTACGTCGTTCTTTGTGCGTTGTCTGGATGAGCATTCGGTCATGATTGGACAACTATCGAGCCCGCTATGAACAGGTCATGTTGCTGAACCGTTGATCTTGTCCTTTTGGGTGTTACCGATCCTTGGCTCCTCATCACCCTTCGGCGGTTTTCCCTAGGAACGGAGATGAGATGAACATATGATCAGGCACCAGCCTAGCCTCGCCCTGAGTATAGTCGTCAGGCAGCGCAGGCTCCAGTATAAGCAGAATTCTAAACGTGTTCTATTTCTATTGCATCTTGGCGTGGCTCAAAGCTTTCAGATTATCGAGTCAGCCAATGAGAGGTGCGTTCGGCAGACCGTTGGACCGGGCAGGTTCTCATTGTCGCACATCCGAAGATTCAACGAGGAGCGTTTGTGGTGATGGCGGAAAGTCTAATTTGACACATGCTGCGGCACCGAGCGATTATACAAGTCTGGTAATTTGTCCGACGTCTCAGAGCTACGGTCACTATGCGATGGGGGTTCATTCTTTCGAGCCAACCAAACATGAGAGCCTCCATCAAAACTTTGGCCGGCTCTGTTTCGGGCAAACATTATTGACAACTCTTTCCAATGGGGCGCAATTGCCTTGGTGGTCCCTGAGACCATAGAGTCGAAACTTTGGTCCAGCTTCTGTCGTTGAAACCGAGTGGCACTCGATAAATACCTCTTGACATTACAATACAGATCAGACCCCGGTGACGAAGTTCAAGGTGACATACAACCTGGCCCGAGCACCCACTGAACCTGAGCCAGATGTCTAGACTGTATCGAGCAACAAAGGAGTCGTAATACTCCTTTTTCAGACGCCAATGTTGTTATACCGGCGCTTCGCTCCATATTAGGAGGTGTCAATTAGATTTGCGCTGCCACACAACGTCTTGTCGTGCGCAGCACTCCTCGACCCAATTATAGCAACCAAATGAAAAGTCCTACCAGCTGTTGCCTGGCTGTGCCTCTAGTCTTTCAGGTCTCGTATCCTACAAATATCATTCTTGCGACCCATCACAACAAATCTCATTCACGATTTCTGCAATCATCGAACATCTGGAGCGGCTACCGAGCTGCTACTTCCCGTATCCGGTTCTCATCCCACCCCATCGCCCCCTGGAAGAGAGGAACTATGCAGCTCAAGGAACGGGAAACTCCAAGACTGTCGCAGTTGGTGCCATATTCAAGCCTTATTCTCACAATCTCATGCGTGGTCATCTTTCTTGCCCGGATCTATATCCTCGAGCCACTCGTGAAGCGATACAATGGACAGTACAAATGCCTCAGTCCCGCCCAACAGAGAAGTCTGATCAACCACTATGTCGCCGCTACTACCAAGCTTCTTCTGCTCTTTGTGGCGGTCTATCCTTCCATCATGATCATCACCGGTCGCAGGAATCTGCATTCCCGGTTTGGCAATGGAAATGTTGAATATGGAGATGTTTTGCTATGCGTATTCGAAGTCTTCACCTCGATGTATATCTTCGAACTCTTTTACCGAGAGAAAGTCAGCTACATTAGCGCGGCTCATCACATCGGTGCGGTTATCATCACACAGACAGCCATCGTCCTATTTGAAGACCCAAAGCAAATGCCAGACGCCGAGCTTGAGTTTCTCCTCTGCTTAATTTGGGGTAAGTCTTGGTTGTGCTTCTCTCTTACTGGAACTAACCGTGCACAGGATTCTTCGACATAGCCGCAGAATTGTGGCCACATCTTTCTATCATAATATATCGTACTTGGCCCGAAAATCACGCTATCCTTGCTGATATCTTCCTGGCGACAACGATCCTCGAGCTCATCGGCACTATAACTGAGACCGCCACGATTTTCGCGATGTTCTTCTTATGGTGGGAGCAGTGGACAATCGAGTTCAGAGTGCTCACTCCGACTCTACATCTTCTGTTCAGTTGCGCACAGCTATGGGGTGCAAGAGTGTTCTGGCTCATGTCGAGACAGCATCGTAGAGCCGCAAAGGGTTGCATGATAGAAGACAACGCTTCAGAAGCCTTGTCATCGCCCCCAGACTACCGAGTGGAAATCGCAACGAAGAAGCATTCAACCGGACATTTCTGAGCGCGGATGTGTCACCACTGCCATGGAAGTCACAAGTGAAGGATAGAGAAGGCCGGAGAAAGAGTAGGCACGACAGCCCCTTTCACTATGTACAATTCTTATCAAGATGCTCGCGAGCATAAACGAATATGATTCACAATTCTACTTGATAGATTCAGCCCCTGTGATGTCAAGTGCAAGGACTGGAACTCGAATGCATGCAAGTTGACCTAAGCACGGTCGCAAATGAAGAGCGTGGAGACGCCACATTATATTGGCTAACATACACCTTGCAGCAATTCCAGCAGCAGGATTCAAGTCAGCCTGGCTTCTGGCTCTGATCGTAGGTCTCGATCATTACGGTTCGAAGGGTGATATAGAACTGTGTGTTGAAATCATCCCAATGAGAAACAACAGTCAAGACATCAGCGTCTGCAACGCTGTTTGCCATACAAAACGAAAACCATGACTTTCTACGGCAATCTTTGCAGAGGAGATCAGATTCTCGACACGAACGGCCCCCGGATGACAAATCACTTGTTCTTCCTCAGGCTCGTAAAGAAGCTTAATAGTGTGAAGACCAGTAAGTCCTAGGCTCTTTCGCTTTGCTGCTACCGTGGCAAATTCTGCCAACCATTTCACATCATCTACACCGATTTGCCAGATGATGCCGCACTGGCTGTCGTTCCAAGAGCTCTCGAGCATGAATTCGCTTAGTGAGGGAGTGAGCCACAGGTCAGAAGCCTTGTTCGGGGGAGGTAGACCTAATGAACAAAGCTGCAATGTTCGCAAAGCCTGGAAAGGGTGGATGCTAAAGTGATCGAGACCCTCCTGCGTGGGCCCAAGCTGACGAATACGCAACTCTTGCAAAGTAAGGTAATGTCCACTCAGAGATTTCTGCAAATCTTCGAAGGTCCACCGCCATGAAATACAGCCCATTTCCACTAGCTTGTCGAGAGAATACCCACACATGCCTATTATGTCAAGAGTGAAGCATTCGAGGTTTGAAACTGAGGATAGGAATTTTCTCAACTCAAGAGGATTGCCATGGTGAAAAGACCAAAGATGTAGCTGCGTGAGAGATGCAGAACCACTGTTGCACTACGCCCGGTTATGCGCTTGATTCTCGTGGCGTGGCTGCTTTGCACATACTTGCTCTCTTCGATTTATATCTGTGTTTGGTAGACGCACCAAATTTCTCTCCATTGAGGGGGTATCATCGCCGTGATCTTTCTTACTGCGGACACCCTTCAAAACGAGTTTTGACAAACGACCGAGTGCTGACACCATGCGAGTGAAGGATTGGAGCCCATAGGTAGCTTCCGGACCCAGTAAAACCGATAGCTCGACAAGCTCAGGAAGACCGCAAAGGTTGGTATAGCAAGCGTTCCACTCCTGTGCTGTGCAAGTACCTGTGATGGTAAGATCCAGCTTCCGGAGTCGCACAAAATTAGTCTCGGTCGCCATTGCAAGCCGAGAGAATGATTTCATCGGAATACTCAAGCTGATTATGTAGTTTCTCAAGCTGTAAGCTGTGTTGATTGTCCGGACGAATCGACGTAAGATACGCATTTCGAATATCTCACATCCGAGGCTTGACTGCGAAGGAGCAAGTCGAATCCAAGAATAGAATACTGGTCGAGATATGGCCAAGAACCTTGAACATGTCAAGCTGATAGCCTGAGCAGTTGAGTAGTCTTGTCGAGGCAATCCATCGCTTGCAACCTTGCATTGGCATGGCCGACTATTGTGTTTGTCGAACAACCCGCTCGCATCGATGGAGAATTCGAAGCATTTGCGAAGTAGCTCGGCCGGCAATCTGTTGACGAGATCCTCCCCGTTCCCGGCAGAAGAGTTGATTGAGTACAACTGGGGCTTGTGAGCCTTGCACTCATAAACCTCAGATATCGAATCGTCTTGCGACATGGGATAAACAAGCACCAGTCTCTTGTCGGAAGAGACACCGAGTAAAAGCTGCCGCATCCTCGCTCCAGAAACTTGCTCTCGCTCACCAGGAAAAGTTTGCCCGCGTAACTTGGGTTGAGGTGGTGGAGTGCTCGAAAGCATCAATGTCCACGCGGCGTTGGTCAGATAATCCTGTCACTGCACCAAAACCGTCCCAAACGCGGGAGCCAAATTCTGATGTTCTGTGCGCAGACTCGAGCCAAAGCTTCCGAAGATAATGCTGCTGCCTGTAGGCTGTGTGCCATTAATTGGCTTGAAGCAGCACGTCATCATTCAAAATTGATTGGTTGGATTATCGAACACATGGCCCGTGCCCGAGGGAGGAGGATTCGCGTCAATGCAAAATGTAGGTTTGGAAATTGTTGCCACTGTTAAGTTGCACTTGAAATTATGAATGCCAGACAAGGATGCGCGTGTGATGTTCTTTCACGGAGTTTTCAGGCCTCGTTCCGATTGAGCAAGAAACGTCCACGTTTCAACAATCTTGAGGATGCTACGTTGAAGCCTAGACTGCTGAGCAAACCTAGATTCTTGGGGATCAGAGCCACGACCACGCAGCTCGTACAAATGCTTTTGCCATATGCGTATTGCCGACTGCTATCGCGATCATGCATGGCAACCTAGGTCCAGGCCAGGGTCTAGCTGAACTTGAGTATGAACAAAGACAATGGAATTCGAACCTCTGCTATTTTCCTCCTGAGTTGTGTCACGTTCCCAATCAGTGCTCTCTTGAGCACAAGGATTTCCCACCCAAGACAGGCCAATAGGTCGTGCTTGACCTTGAAAGTGCTACCCGAACCATCGCCCACCTCGCAAAACCACGATTCCGGAACACATCATTGCCAATTCCAGTACAAACCTCTGACGAACGGTGGACTGATGATTGCAGCGTCTGATCGAGACTTTCAAGCTACGTCTTCTCACTCATTCAACGTGCTGCCAGTGCCACCTTGCTGCTCGCCATATTCGTACAGCTTTTGGACATGTCATCGCTCGTCGGATCGGGAGCTGAGATCCAAAATCTCGTTTATCAGGCAATGCGGCCAGTTGCAAGGCCGCGATCTCGAGACGGTTGCTGGACATGTCGACTGAGAAAAGGTAACCCGAGGTTGATTGCATATAGCTCTCAACGGCTAACTCAAGTCACCATAGTCAAGTGCGACGAGGTCGGGCCGATCTGCGGGTGTTGCACCAAGTCGAAGAAAGAATGCGTCTGGAGCAAGAGATGGAAGTTCTCCGATCTGAGTTCAGCTGTACGACGTAATTACAAGATCACCACTTATTCCGGCAACCCAAGATTTGGAGCTAGTACGCTGCTACGGTCACCTGCAGAACATGCGCATATAATGGATGTAGAGGCGCCAATGGAGGACATAACACAAGAGACAACATTCCTTGGCTGTCGACCGACGCTCAACATCGTTCTCACGCCAAATAGCTATCCGCCACCAACCACAAATGGGCGAGTCATCAAACTAGACGGTTTCACGATCTCGAAGCTGTACAACTCTGATGACCCAGATATAGTTTGTCTTCGTGAATTGGGCAACGCATTCCTTTCCGTCATGTCACTCAAGCCGTCTTTGGCTAAAGAAGCTGACGGTACTTCCAACTCCGCACCACAGATTTCCTGCGACGTCCTGGATTGCAGCACAGAGGATGATCATTACTTCCAGTACTTTCAGAATGTGGTTGCCCGAAAATTGATTCCACATGATATAAGCGATCAAGTAGACGGCATCGAAGGTCCCGTGAATGAGATGATATCTCTCTCCAAGACTTGGATCGCGGTGCGTATTATGATTGAGAGACCATGATTATATTATCACTGATTGTTCTGAAGCTACGCCATGCGATACGCGCTGTGAGCACATTATATCTGGCAGTCGATGGTCGGCCGGATATCCTGGCAGAATCTTTCAACCACTACAGCAAGGCTATTAGAGCCTGTATTGGTGAGAGCAATGACTCTTTTCCAACATCACCGCTTGCAGTCTCGCTATATCTGCACTTCATTCTTCTTCTCTTCGACATGTGTTGTGCTTCACAGGAGTTCTTGCCGGAGAGACAAGTGTGGACTGCACATATCGATCAGCTCGCGCGTCTAGCGTACCAAATGGATCCAATTAAAGACTCTCAAGCCTCACTCCTATGGTATGCCCTGCAAATAGATCTGAACTCGTGTCTGGCGGGTGATTCTGGAGCGGGTTCTCTTGTAAAAGCATATCAATCGAGTGAATGGCAATCACCTTTCAGGTACAAACTACCGTGTTCTGCTACCAAGTCCGTAGACGGCACTTACGACGGAACCGCCTACGATCACTGTCGAAGCATCCAGAACCTGATCCACGCCAAACTCGCCGACCTGAGCCAACTGGCGTCAGAGATTCGTGCAGAAGTTGAGCGTGACCCCACGAGCATTACCAAAGTTCAACAGCAGATCGTTGAGTTTCGGGACCAGCTCCGACAATGTTGGCAGCACAAAACATGGAGGTTCTTCACTGTTGGCTTAGAGCGAGTGAAGCCTTCACTAATCCTCAAGCTCAAGACTATCTATGACAGAAGCTGCATCCAGTATTCAACCGCGATGTTGTATCTCAGTATCAGCATGTATGTGGGCCAGTACTGCCACACATTTGCTTCCCAACACGCTGATATCACTCGACATTCAAAGCGAATATTGGTTCTGGCATCTGAAATGGTCGAGACTGGCGATGCTTGGTCAAGTCTCCTTGGCCTACCGGTCTTTCTAGCTGGAATCGTAAGCCGCGAAAGTCGAGATATGGATGCATGTCGGGCTCTATGCCATGCGGTCAAGGCCATGTGTCCTATCTTCAATATTTCAAAAATTGAGAAGGTATTGGACAAAGGACACAGAAAGCATATATGCCAGTCAGCATACGGTATCTGTCTAGGCGGAATGGACTGGGCTTCACTTTGCAGAAGCTGTGGTATGGCAAATTAGTTCGGACAACTCAGACATGTCCACTCGAAGTACTTCAAGCAAATCAGGGTTGTCGTACAGCGATCTCGTTCTCGAGGTAAGAGTTCATTCAACCATCACGAGATGGTTCGCACAGGATGAAGATTTGTCAAACACTCCGAAGGATGTGACAGCTTTGTGTCGCATCCTTGTGGTCTTGAGGACAGCACTATAGCGACGCGGATTGGGCCTGCACAAACCATCTCATTGATGACCAAGTTCAAGTCGTCCATTTGCTGCCCGAGGACGAGTGCAGGAAAACGTCAAGCAAAGTGTCTAGAGGGTGATGCTGGGTCCCAATTCCAAGGCAATATAAACGACAATTGCAGCATTCGTAACTAAACGTCATCTGAAAGTGACTAGTGTCACGGTCCAGGCGAGTCGTTATTACGGCATGGTGGCAACAGAGTTATTAGGTCTACAGAGATTGATCATAGTCGATTGTGAAAGATGTAGTCATTTAACGATAGGAACTTTGCACTGACATAAATGGAACAATAGCTTGTGAGTTTGAAGAAGATGGATTGACAAGGATGCAAAAATTTCGAATTCATTGATGGAAAAACCACATTGTTAAGCAGCGAGCTAAAAGGAGCCAGAAATATCAGATCAACCTATCTTGCAGGAAGAAATTGAGAGGGAGATGAGAAGAATGTTTCGGACTTACAGAATCAAGTCAGCGGCCCAGAGGTGAATAGACAATCACCAACGTGGCCGAAGTGTCTACATCTGTTGCAAGTCATGCCACCGCACTGATGACACGCGATACAACGCCCGCCCGGTCCAACCTGAGGTCCAGTGAGAGGTATTCAACAGTCACTATTCGCGCAATACAGGATTTCACCTGTGCATCTCCATTCAGCAACACGTCTTTTGACCAATCTGATACTATCCTCAGTCAATGCGTATTTGACGAATCGGAGCGGGACTTGATCAATGTTGCAGCAGTGAATGGGCCAAAGAGCGGGATTCTGGCAGCAACGTGTGACCCATGTGTTCAGACAACTGGGACAGAAGCGGCAGCTGCCGCAAGGAAGCTGGACGGTGCGGCGAGTCTTTCGATTGCAGCGACGGCAGGCGGGAAGACGTGGAAGAGGCGGAAGCCGAGGAAGGCGCCCGAGGTGTGGCAGGACGAAGAAGTAGATGATGGTCAGAACATCGATCGAGACAATCAGGTAACCGACCATGCGCTCACAGAGCGGAAGAGTTGATAGTCCGAGCATTGGTTGTGTGAGTGGATGATGATTGTGTAGTACTTCTATATTCACTGTCTTCCAGTATGCAAGCAAGTTGTGCTCTCTAAAGTGTGCCATTAGAGGAGCAATGGCGAGTTATATCGCTGCAGCAGCACAAGAGCCCGCAGAGCGGCGGGTAGTTTGAGCTTTGGGCGAAACAAAGGTACTGTTGATTGTGGTTCGCTGCCATAAAGAAAAGATTTTGCCCTTCAATGAAGATCCATGTCTTGTCACAAAGAAAAGATTTGGCATTTGAAAGACGAGTCATGCTCTGTGGTATAGATTTACCTTGGATCACGACAAGTTGAGCGTCGTCGAGAGAACTTCTCTGCAGGATAGGGAACACGATGTATAGCACATGTCTGCTAGCTTTGTAGCATAATTGTGCTGTCGACGGGCCATCGCCAGGTCGCTGCACTTTATTGGGTGGAGGAGGAAGTATTGCCGACTGTGATGTTGCAAAAGACTGTCGGTATGGCGCGTCATAGGAAAGCGATAGCCATTCGCACATGTGAGGGATGTATGCCGGTGTAAACATAACAATTCTACACATAAAATTACGACAATACGGTATGAACAGAAGAATGGTGAAGCAGACATTTGCACGATCAAGAATAGGACGAGACTGGTGGGAGACAGAAGAACATTTTCATTCCCACAACTCCAACATATCCAGATGCAAGATGCAGAAAGACCAACAAGTCAAGTCTTAGGAGAATCATTTTTGTCAACATCCAAAGCTCCTGACTAGGTCACTGTGCCAACTACTTTAAAAACGGCTAGCCTTGGACAACTTGTCTAAGAATCTGTCTTTGATATCTCTCAGGATGCTCCGCACACGGCCAACAGCGGTAATAGGTCTAGGTGTGATGTTGGGACTGTGTGAAGGTCTTGGGTTTATGCCATAGTCGGAAGACGTCAAAGAGCTAGCAGAAAAAGGGGATGGAGGCAAAGGCTTGTGGAGATTTGGACCTGGTTTCTCTCCATCCTTGTGCTTACTAAGAAGAGAGCGTATTGGAGGAATTATTCAGTAGTGAGTGACTAGGGTGTTTAGGAACAGGGCTCACAATCTTGGTGCCAGTATTGTCTCGGAGTGAGGCATGATGAAACGGGGATCCAGGAGGTGTGTAAGAGACACAGGAGGTAAGGGGGCGTCCAGGCGAACCAGGAGGTGTGTAGAAGGCGGGAGGAAATTGCTCTGCGCCTAGAGGCAGCGGCTTACGTGGAATTTGAAGGGCCTGGAAAGAGGTTTCCCGTGATGTGAGTATGAACTGTGACTCGAACAAGGATTCTCAGCAACGACATCAGTTGAAACAGACGAATTTGCATCACAGGATTGTGTAAAACTTGCTGAACTCTTATCAGCAAAGCTGGATGTGGCTCGTGTCTCGAAGCCAGACGGTGCAGAGCTGATTGTCTGTCTGTTTTTGAACCTTTAAGCTCCATACATTCCAGCAGGGTGGTCTTCATACTTCTCTTCGTAAGGGTCAAATGGTGCTATGGGAGCAATGAGAGCCAGATAATTTGTCGGTGGCTCTGGAGAGGACAAGGTAGTTGTGGGCATAGAGCCGTTGTCAACAGCAGACTAGAGCAGATCCGGGACTGGGCTTGGTGGGGACGATATAGACTCAGCAAAGGGATTGAAAGCAGATAGCATGCTAATTCTGGGTAGAGCAGGCAGTTCGATTCGAAGGCTCGAAGAACTGTCGCCGGCAGATAGCTCGTTAGCTTTTAGTTCATATACAGACAAACTCGATGATCTGTTCGTATCAGGACCTTCATACGATTATGAAGCTCGAGCAACTTTGTTGTTGTTGTTATTGGCGATGATCAACAGTTGCTCTGCAATAGCATCAGCCTTAGCTTTAAGGGCAGAGTAGCAATGCTGGTTGATGGCTGGAGGGAAGCCATTAGCCTCAATAAAGACGGAAAGTCTATCACCTTTCATGTTGTTGTTTGTTGAAAGTGCTTACTTGGTCAGTATCGGATGTAGAAGAAGATTGAGAGGATCAATCAAGAAAGGTTGTGTAGGTCGTGCTGTATGCTTTCGTACTAGATATAGAGCCTTTGACTCGTCTGTGGGCAAGTGAGCGGAAAAGATTCAATATATCATTGCAGCGGAGTCCGAAGAGGGTCAGTGAGTCGTGGGCGAAACGAGGGCATTGTTCATTGTGGTTCATCAACACAAAGGAATTTCGTCATCTGAAAGAATCCTCCATTGTGTTATCTTGACCCTACTTGTATTTCTTTCACTTTAGCTCGTACTTCTTTCATGCCTTCTTTGACGTCTGTCAGTTTCCTTGATTGTCCTTTGTTATCTCAATATCTCCTGCCTGTTTCCGCAGCTGCTCTAGCTTCCCGATCGCTTTGTTCACACCGTCGACGGCCATTGTCCATTGTATCTAACGACCACCAACCACAGATATAATTCTTTGCTACAAAATGCCTCGTCCTGGCTCATGGATAGTGTTCTACAGTCGGTATGCGTTCCACAAACATTCACACACCAAACGAGCTGAATAAAATGTGTCTCTCCACTACAACCGAAGATGCTGCTGGTCAGCCTTCAATAATGGAGAACATGACGTTTGGTATCGAGTTTGAGTTTCTGTGCTACACACCGCATGGTGTGAGCCCCAGAAGTCACCTCTCACAGGCGCTCAGAGAGCCCGTTGATCTCCTCTGCAGTCGTTGTGCTCAGAATCACTCTTGGAAATTGCCCGTTGAGGGGACTCTTGATGGGTTCGTTGCTCCATTTTCCACTTGGACATTGCATCGTGATAACACAGTCAAGGCCAGCGACGACGAGACGGTCCACGTTCCGAAAGGCTCTGACTTCTACAGCATGGAGCTTGTGTCTAGAGTCATGAACTTTTCTAATCCCACGACTGATCCGATTGGGCAGACATATCCATGTACTGGTGAGTTGCTCGAATGGGATTCTCAGACCGAGATCAGCACTTTCATCCAGAAAGTTCAGGAGGCTTTCTCTGGCACTGGTTACCGTGCTTCCACCAACAAGAGCACTTGGCTCCATATCCACTTTGGTAATGGCAAGCATCAACCTTCTGTACAGACTGCACTTGGTATGTTTGGTGTATTTGCAGCTCTTGAGCGTCAATTTGATCACATCTCTCCAGTTTCCAGAATATCAAGTCTGCCATTTGAGGGTCCCACACCTGGACTTCGTGGAATGGCTCCCGAGTACAAGTATGGCCAAGTCAACGAGTGGGTCGGGGCTGGCTCACGAGCGTTTCTTGAGATGATGCGTTGGCGTGTAAAAAGAGCGATAAAAGACGACGCCGAAACTACCCGCTTCACCATCACTGAGCAGCTGCAGGGTTGCAGTCCGCCTTTCTGGCTTGACAGCATCTCTGTACCTGATGAGGTCGAGACATTTTTGGACAATTGGCCCCTCGATGACAGTGTTGGTGAGCCACTCAGCCGCCGTTCCATGGCTGTGAACTTGAACAACTTGACTTCGAACGTAGGAAAATGTACAGTCGAGGTCAGAGCTGCTCCCGGATCACTAGACTTCTCTGAGGTTTGGGCTTGGTCTCAATTCATGGGTAAGCTTATGTTGTGGCTTTCAACTCCTGCCGTTGATCACAATGCTATCATCACCAACATTTGGGCTGACCCTGACAGCACTGTTCTGGACCTCCTCAACGAAATCGGCGCCTCACGAAACAAAACCCTGTCGTGCGGTTTTTCAAAAACCTCATTTCTCACCTTGAGCATTTCGACCTCTACGCGGCGACAGGGGCACGATCACCTCTATACCGGTGGTCCAGGGGGTGTAGAAATGTGTCCGTAAGGGGCCCCCGGCGTTGGTTTGATCGATCTCATCGTCGCCGTCGAGGTATGCCGTCGCCAAGTTGGAGGGCAG